TGTACTTGTGAATTGATCATATTTTGATGGTTGTGAATTGATCATAGGTTGAAGTTATCTTGTAACTACTTATTTTTGAATGACGAGCTTAAAACATATAAATGCTTCATTATTTTTTATTTTGATGATATCTTAATGTAGTGTGATCTTATTCCATTTTTATTTTGGTTTACGTAACTGTGTTTGCTTATTGGTCAAATTTCTTAAAAAGTACTAATATAACCCTATAAAACTATTGTCATAGCCCTATAAAACTGTTGCCTTAGCCCTATAAAAAGTGTTGCTATAGCAAAGCAAAATATCGCATTAGCTACAAAACAACTGTTGCATTTGCTCCCTGATTTTAGAAAAACCGCTACCATTGTGTACTAAACCGCAACATTAGGTATCAAGAAACTATCGTGGGAACTTGTTGCATTTGCAATAACTGTTGCCTTTGTGTATGGAACCGTTACATTAGGCATAAGTAAACCGCTACAGAAAAAGTTGCATTTTGTGAAAAACGTTGCGTTAGCCTCGTCTTAGAAACCGTTGTATTAGGTTGTGCAACCGCTGCCTTATGACTAGGGTAACGACAGCAATGAAGACAGTTTGTTAACCGCTGCGCTTGTGCAATTGCAACTGTTTAGATGCTAATATGACAGTTTTAAACCATTGCGTTAGAGCAAATATGTGGTAGTGTTAATGCCTAATAAATTCGTGTATTGCACGGGTTTGAATATCATACTCCCTTTAAAAGTACGAGTTCGGGAAAATATTTTCATGGTCAATATTACCCTTAATTTTTTTTAAATATTACATTATTATCCTAATTTATTCTAATTATCCTATCTTCTTTGAATTGGTAACTAAATGATTTATCTTATTCATAATGAGACTTAATTAACATGTTATTGGATAAAAGAAATACATTTCATATAATTCAAATCCTTTACTTATTTCAGTTCATAGAGAAATCTAAAAAACATATGCTAGCTAGCACCTAAATATTTTTGGACTTTGTAAAAAATATTCTCTAAGTTTTTTAAATTGCAAAAACACCCCTACAAATTCAAAATTTTATTAAAACATCTTAAAAATTATAAATTTTACTTATTTCAATTCAGTGAGAAATCTGAAAAACATATGCTAGCGAGAAACTAAAAGTTTTTTGACTTTGGAGAAAATATCTTATAAGTTTTAAAAATTGTAAAAACACCCATAAAAATTTAAAATTTATAAAAAACACCTTAAAAATTCAAACCTATAAATACACTAAAAACCTACAAATAACACAAACAACCCCCAAAAATTTATAAAATTTACAATAAACACGTTGAACTTTTTACAAATTGCAAAATAAAACCCTTAAAATTGTAAAATTTACAAAAATCCTGATAATTTCCAATCTAACAGTGTATTAAAAATATAAGAATTATAAATATCCCATACATAATTTCTAATTTATACAAAACATCCTTAAAGTTTTAAAGATTACAAAAAAACCCTTGAAATTTAAATTTTACAAAAAACACCCTGAGAATTTTAAACTCATTAGTAAATTAAAAGCATATGAATTATAAATAGTCTATAAATAATTTACAATCTGTAGAAAAGGCCCATAAGTTTAAAAAATTGCAAAAAGCCCCTAAATTTTATAACTTACGAAAAAATACCATGAGAATTTCTAACCTATAGACATTAAAATAAATATGTAAAATTACTAACAACCCCTAGAAAATTAAAATTTTGTAAAAAATATCATACACCCTTTAAAAATATAGGTTTCGGAAAAACTTTTCATGGTCAATATTATCCATAACATTTTTTGAAAGAACATAACTAATTGAAAATCTATTATATTTGAAATTTAGTACATTGTAAATTACCCCTCCAAAGTTTAAAAATTTTTAATGATTTTTTATAATTCCTTAATTCAATGTAATGTTTAATAGTTTTGTGTATTTGTAAATTACAAGATTTTAGGATATTTTCCTACAATTTTTAAAACTTTTGAGGGTGTTTATTTTGTAGTTTTCTAAATTTTCATTGTGTTTTTAGTGTAATGCATAGATACTTCAATTAATAATGATATTGAAGAGTAAGTTATTCTTAAGATTATTAGGCCATAGTTAAGTGTGCACGTCACTATTCCTAGGTAGTATAATTTTTATATGCAAAAACTTTCAAACAATCTATATAGTGGTTAAAAAGATTTTGACTTTAATGTACTATTTTTATAAATTATATTTAATGTGAACTCACCTGAGTTTGACTATGGTCATCATAATTTTAATATGTTTGATTGATTGACTATATATGTATACAGATCATAAATTACTTTATTTTCTCACATGAGCTAATATTTGGCGCTTAATAATTTAAAGTATTACTTTTAAATTTAATATAAAGAGGAGCTCTAATAACATTTATTTATTTACCTATAAGATAATCCAATCTTAATTTCTATTTTTTGCTTGAGATTTGTTCTATAGTTACAAGTATCAAATTAGTAACTAAAATAATAGTTATTTATGCTTAAATTAGGATGATTATAGTTGGCCACTCACTATGAAATTTTCATGAAGATATACACATTACTTTCTATAGCTATTTGAACTACCCATGTATATATTATAAATTAGTTATTAATTTGACATATTAAATTACTTTTCCTTTGAAGAAATTTCTTCTTTGACTTTTGTACTGTGTAATCACTATATCATCATTCTAGCGTAGAAAGAACCTCAGTCTAAATGGTTTCAAGCCAATGTTTAAGTTAAACTGAAGTATATACTGTTGCTACTATGTGTATATATTTTTTAAGAAAATAATGTCAACATTTTTAAAATAGAAAAAAGTATTCTAACATTTAATATTATAAAAACTAAATATAGTCAATTGAGTGATTAACAAAAGATAACTTACATCAGAAAAACGTGAATAATAAGATAAAGAGGAAAGTTAATGACATTGCCAACAGTGCTACAAATAGCAAACTACAATGTAAAGTTAACCTATTTTGTGGAGACCACCTACTGGCTATAAGCATTGACTACAAATAGCAAACTACAATGTAAAGTTAACCTATTTTGTGGAGACCACCTACTGGCTATAAGCATTGAGGTTTCCATATATATACTTTATTGTGGAGACCACCTACTGGCTATAAGCATTGAGGTTTCCATATATATACTTTATAATTTATTAAAAAGGATCATATAATTTTATATAATAAAATTGATTCAGTACTGAATAATAATAATAGTTATAATAATATCGTTATCAGGGAAAATTCTTCATGAACCAATATGTTCTTTACGATATATAAGCTATACACTCTAAATTCTTGGGTCTTTATAGAGCCAAAAAATTTAAATATGAGCCTCTAACATGTTGTTCTTACAATAACAAAATCCACTTAGCAGCTGTGGATATTCAGATGAGCTATATGTCTTATATACAATATAATTATCCTAGGCAAATGAGTTATAATAGCATTTTTTATTCACATCGTTTGAGGTAAGATTTGATAAGGACCTTGCATTAAAGAAAAAAAATTATATTTAGAGCTCGTGGCGAAATATATCATAATCTCCTTATTCTAATTTCGCAAGAAAATAATACTTCATACTTTTAGTTTTATTTCTATGGTATAGAGAATGAGCTATAAAATTAAATGGGAATATTTTATAATATAAATATGAGTGAAATCATAACTAAAAGTTAACGTGAATATGAGTTAAACCACAACTAAAAGTTTAACGGACATATTACAAGTAAATTCATATACAAAATTCCTTTGTGAATTGAATAATCACCCATCTTTTGAAGACTTCAAGATACTAATAAATAGAGATGTTGTACTAGATTAATGTGTTTATAATTCATAAATAGTAGATCGCGTGGCCACAGTCTAGGTTAAAAGAAACAATGACAATATTTTTTTTTGAGAGAGAGATTATTGAGTTGACGATCAATCCTACAAAAAACTTTATTTTCTTTTTTTATTTTTATTCTATTTTTATCAATTTAAATAATCATGATATTCAACCACGTGCATCTCAACTAGTATATTGCAAATAACCCAATTTATTATACTTAATGGGCTTCATTCGAAAACATGATCAACTACAAATAACCATCGCATGCAATCTATTATCAAGCAATTAAAAGTATTTAAAGTACGGGTCAAACTTCAAACGTTTGACACAATCCACGAAACGTTTCAACGTATGCAACCGCGACCAACAGCAGCTACTAAACCCACGGAAGCAACCAAGAAATCAATCAAGCCCCGTGTTTAGGGCCCGTTTGGTTGGTTTCCTAAAAATCAAGAAAAGGAAATCGGTACAAGGAAATCAATAAAATAATATTTTTACCCATTTCCATCCCTAAAACTCACCCACAACATCTAATAAAATATTATTTTTATCTTCCAACTCATCTCATTTCATCTCCTTTCTTACATTTAAAAATAAACCAAACACAAGAAATGTGTCACATCATCCAACTCATCACAACTTATCTTATCCCATTTTTAAAAATCACACACATCATCCAATAATATTGTGACAACTCATCTCATCTCATTAAACATTCCTTTCCATCCATTTCCTCAAAAAAAAACAAGAAATTGGTTTCCTTAAGTATGTGTCACATCATCCAATAATATACCTCCAACTCATCTCATCTCATCTATTTTCCTATTTTTAAAAACGAACCAAACACAAACAACCTCAAAACATCATCCAATAATATACCTCCAATTCATTTCCTTATTTTTTTTAACCAACCAAACAACCTCAAAACAATTTTTTTTTAAAATCACTCACATCATCCAATAATAAGTTGACAACTCATCTCATCTTATCTCCTATTCTACAATTTCTTTCTTTTTTAAACCAACCAAACAACCTCAAAACAAATATTATAGGAAATAGGTTTCCTATTCTTTGATTTCCCAAAAAAAATGGCCAAACGAACAGCCCCTTAGCGTCAAAGCAGCCCCTTTGAAACTTTTTCCGGTCCCTGCTCTACAAAAAAATTCCAAGTAAACCCACTCTCAATAAGACCCATCATCACTCGTGAGGTCATCCCTCTCCTTCCTGCTCCTCTCCCATTTTGGCTCAGGGGTCTAATTAAGTTCCTTGCTCTCATCATCATTCCTCTATATTAAAACCCCCTTCCCCTATATTTTTTTTCTCTCTCCACAAAATCTAATCTTTTCCCCGACCCAAATCCCAAAATCCAATCTTTTACAAAACCCATATCCTAAATCCGATGGCCACGGCCGCGGATGCTGCGGCCAGCATAAGCATGCAGGTGATGATCGTAGCGGTGGTTTTCCTCTTCATGGCGGTCATCTTCGTCCTCTTCCTCTACCTCTTCGCCAGGTACTTCATGGGTTCAAGCGCTGTCCTCCGACGCTCCCGGGCACGCTTCGTCTTCGTGGCCGCCGACCAAATTCAAGCGGCTCAGCGTGGTCTCGACGCCGAGGTGCTGAAGTCTCTCCCCGTTTCGATGTTCAACCCCTCTGAGTTCAAAGGTGGGCTAGAATGCGCGGTGTGTTTGTCTGAATTATCCGAGGGAGAAGAAGTTCGATTGCTTCCTAAATGCAATCATGGATTCCATGTTGAATGCATTGATATGTGGTTTCATTCTCATTCTACTTGCCCTGTTTGCCGAACTTCGGTAACGGGAGAGTTTTCATTTGAAACTCGACCTCAAGAGAGCGTTTCGGCGGGTGGGTATTCGACAGAATTGCCGAATTTTCCTACCAATGTGTTGTTCTGGGGGAACCAAGATGAAGTCAGTAATGGGGTTCCTCAAGAAGAGAGTTCGAGATCTTCGATGCTCGTAATTGATATCCCGAGAAGGTCGAGTAGATTTTCAGAGGATGAGATGAAATCTCCAATGGAGGAGGGAGCGAAAACACCAAAATCTGCGAGGTTGAGGTCTTTGAGAAGGTTATTGAGCAGGGGAAAGATGGTAATTGGTTCTTCCTGTAGTCCAAGGGAAGTTGATATTGAGCAAGGAGAGGGGAGTAGTCTAACTCCAAAAACTCCTAATGGTAGGTCATGAAAAATATGAAAATTGGTCGTGGATTTTGTGTTCTGAGATGAATTGGTATATTGCCAATCACCAGAGTATAGTTGTGGATATGATACATTGAGATGGATGCACTTATGAATATGTACAAAGAAATTTCTTGATGGTTAATTTGTTGAAGAAGTGTAGAGAAATTGCTTTTCATTACTTTGAAGGCTTGGCTTCATTGGCTTAGAATGTTCACAGTTGTTTCTTGCATGTTGATTCCAGAAGCATATACATGTATAGAGGTATGTTTTTCTTGAGGTTGCAAAATAGAATTGTTTTCGAAGTTCAAAATATGATTGAGGTTGTAGAGAGAGAGAGCAAAACTTGTGTCAATTTAAGTGGATAGCAAAAAGTTGTCCACCAAACTTTTTAGCCACTCATATACACAGACTTTAGATCAAGATATGATACATGGAGACCTGAATTGATTTTTATTCTCATGTAATTTAGTATTTTGTTGAGGAAGTGTAGAGGTGGCTTCTCATTACCTTGAAAGGAGGTCCCCTGTGTGTCATTTATTAGCTGAAAATTGGGCATCCTCTGAAACCTTGTTTAGTGATTCTTTCATTACCATGACTTGATGTTGTGCTTTTATTCTAGTTGTAGATTTTATGCATTGTGTAGCTATGCGCGCATGGAGAATTGCTATGATTTTTATTTTTGTAGTTCACCATTAAATAGAATTATATTATTGTTGAATTGACTAGCTCTTTAAATTGTAGAATAAATACTTCTCATTGGCAATAATGCTTCTTCCTCATAATGGGAGGGATATAAACAGAAGTTAGTGTCACTTCAACTAGTAATTTTAGCTCCATAGCTGACAAGACCTCCACATTTGGTTCACTCTGCTCCTTAATGATGAGAGACTTGATTCACAGAGTTTCTGGTAATATTGTAGAATATATCACAACCTAAAACAACACACAAAGCTTCACCCCTCCAAAAAAGCTGATTCTTACAATTGACATTTGTAGTTAATAGCTAAAATTTAGGGCATATATATATGTTTATGATAAACATCTGAATGTAAGTAGCCTATGTTGTATCAGACTTGACACTTATCATAGACCATTGCTTGCCCAAAGGAAATGTGTAAACTAGTTAACAGAGTTACTTAAGAATTCGTCTTAAGCACATAAAGTAATAAGCTAATTACATAATTTGGGTTAATTGTTCGGTGTTGTCATTGTTGTATTTGATAATATCATGTTTTTCTACAAAAAATATTACACTCAATTATCAGTAAGATCAATTTTTTTAAGGATTTATGTCTAGCGAACAACTGTTATTGTGTATAAACATCTTTATTCTTATGAAATTTCTATAAAGATTTTTGTTAAATTCCTGGCTATCAAGAGCAAAAGCTCAAAATCTTAACTGGGGTTTCTTTCATATTTCTGCTGTGCAAAAAATATTGAGTTAACCTTAACGACATTAAATGGATGGATTCATGAAACTAATCTCGAGTTGATTGGTTCTTTGTAACTCCTTGTATTGGTTTGCTTTAAGATTGTGATTGTGGTTCCTGTTACTTAGTGAACTACGTCCATATAGAGCTTGCTCATTGTTCTTTTTCCTTCTTAGGTGACCATCACGCAAAAATAAAAATATACACTGAGAAACTCATGTCACTTAATCAACAAATGAAGGCAAAACAGAGGGCTCAAGCTGTAACAGAAACTTATGAGTTAGTTCTACAAGCTTACAAGTGATTGTATCTTTGCTCACTAGCGTGCATACCTCACACATTTTCAGTTTCTTGCCTCGAAGGAATAGGATTTAAATGATTGCATAATGATAATCTTCTTCCTACAACTTTCATAGTGTTCATTTATACATATGATTTTGTGCAGTAATCCTTTCATTATTCTCTGAACAAATGATTCTGATCTAAGCAAGTTCTATTTTTCTGTCAATGTATTAACCATGCTATTTGTTTTCCTTTTTAATTGAGCATATGTCAGGCTTTGCTCCGACAAGTAGCCAATTTGTAGTTAGAGTATCTTAAATAGCTTTCTTTTCCTAAATTAATTGATGAAGACTAGTATGCATTCTAGATGGAAGAATGGACTTCAAAGAAGTCAGTCTTCATCACCCAGGCCTCATTCAACCATGGTTTGCTAGAGATTTGACTTTAGGCTTGAGATTATGATTAGCGAAGAAAACTGATGTCATACTATTACTTCATCCCTCTTTCTTGTGAGACAAACAATTCTCATTTTTTTTTTTTTTAGAAAAAGGATGGATTACTATATAGTAATCCAGCCAGCAACAATTCTCATTTTAAAATTAGTTGACAATTGATAGTGAGCTTTATAGTATTTCCCTTTTGATACTCTTTGGATATTCTAGGCCTTAGTTGTCACTTACGCTGTGTTTCTTCAGTATGCTTCCACTCTAAAGTTAAAATTATGTTGTTCCTTCCTACTAAGAATTAAGTATTCACGAGGAAAATTCCCTTGGAAAATGCCTTATTCCCAAGGACAGCTGCAAAAAGTTAAAAATTACTTCTCATTTGTGGAGGATTATGGGTTGGGAATAATAGCAATATTCTTGAGGGAGTTTCTCCGCACAAATTTAATAATTTCATCTTGTTATTATTTGTCGCGATAGTCATTGTTGTGGGAATATCCTCTGGAATTGTTGTTAAACACGATGGATAACGGTTTTTCTAATGCATGCTCAAGGACAACCCGTTAAGAGGGAGAGAGAGAGAGAGAAGATCAGAGAGAATATAAAGTACATATTTACCTGGATATCGGGATCCTCTACTAATAAATAGTGTTCCTAATATCTCCTAATAAATAGATATTAGCCTTTGATTTATCAATCAAATGCCAAGATTTCATCCTGAGGAGATCTTGGCCTTTGATTGATAAATCAAAGGCCAAGACCCATTAGGAGATATTAGGAACCTCCTTATTAGTAGAGGATCTCAATCCTTTACCTGGTGCGCTTGGGCACTGGTTAGAAAAACTCAGAAATTCATGAAGTTATTTTAGCACGTTAACAAGGTGCAATTTCGAAGTAAGGAACTTCTAAAAAATAGCAAAATATGAGTTCAAAAATATGTATTAAGAAACGTTAATATGAGGTCAAAAATATGTATTATGAAACGTTGTTTTGACTGGTTCCTATTGAGATATTCTAAAATCGAATAGAACTGAAATTATTTAAAATCGAATTGAGCTTTTAGAAAATTTTACAACTGAACAGGAACCGCAAAAATTCGTTAAGCTGAACATTAGTTTAATCGATTCAAACAGATTAATGCTAGGGGGTGCATTCGGTCCGGCTATGGCTCGGATATGATGCTTACCATATCCATATTCGTTTACCCATCTAGGATACAGATACGGATATAGATATATCTCGGTAAAAAAAATTTATAACCATATCCGGTAAAATCGAATACGGTTACGGATATACATGCGTATATATAAGCGGATATGCATACTGATACAAAATAGATATGAGAAAAGTAGATAATATTGAGAAAAATATAGTTCATGTGATACAAAATAGTTCATTAATATCTTCATTATAACTAAAAAGTTAAGATTAGACATCTTGATTATCAAAATTAACCACAAATTCATAATCTAATAATCGAAACTATCGTAAAAGTATGTCTAATATGTATTCGGATATTTTGGTTACGGATACGAATATTTTACTACAAAACTATATGTGTAACCATATCCTATTAATTATATATTTGAGTAACGATATCAGTATTGTAACGATTACGGTTACGGATATTTCCTCAGATATTACCCCTAATTAAATGCTCACCCTACCGGAGGCAAAACATTATGTCCACTTATTATAAGCGAGGCCAGTCAATTGAACGGCCAGGATTCACTTATCATTGGCTGGCTTGATTCAATTTGAGACATACCATCATGGAGGGGCCCAGAAAGGGTTCACATCCGGGAAAGGTGAAAACCACCACCGTTCTGAGAGGATCACGGCTAGGGCTGAGCATGGTTCGGTCCAAACCGAAAAAACCGACCGAACCGACCCGAACCGACCCGAAAAAATCGGTTTTATGAGTAGGGCGGTTCGGGTCGGTTTGAAAACTTTTCAACCCGAACCGACCCGAACCGACCGAATATAGTGCAATACTATCTATTCTGATCTCAAACCTATCCAACACGTCCCCAAAGAGTCAAAAACTCAAACCCTAAACTCATTTTCTGAATCATTATGGGTTGAAAACAATATCATTATATCAGTGTTCAATGCTTCATAATCTCCTATTTTGTTGATATCTTTTTTTCTTTAACACAGTTCGTTGTTTGATAAGAAGTTTGATGAAGTTAGAACCGAACAAACCGAACCGAACCGCACCGAACCGACTTACAACATTTCGGTTCGGTTTTGAATTATAGACAGTTCGGTTCGGTTGTTCAAATTTTGGTAAAAACCGAACCGAACCGACCGTTGCACACCCCTAATCACGGCACCATAATAGGCGGAGATAATTTCACTCCTCAAAAAGCCCTTTAAAAAAATATTAAAAAAAAAAGAAAAAAGAAAAGAAAGACAAGGGGAGGGCGAAGGCATTTCGATTAACAATTCCTGTAAAAATTTCTCCTTTCCGCCGACTCCTCCTCCTAGGAGTCGCAGCACCAATTTTGCGCCATTTTTTCGAGAATCTTTTTTTTTTGCTCTTTTTCGACAGCATATAAAGGGATTCTGTGTTTGCGTACATTGTGGGTTTTCTTTTGTTGATTTCTTTCTATCAGAATCGAATTTATTTGATCATTGTAGTTGGGTGTCTGTTGTTTCCACTTCTGAGTCGATTTGAAGAATACCCATTTCATATTTTCATCTTAAACCCTATTTTTCTCCTGATTCCAATCGATTTAGGGTTAAAAATAGGATTTTTAGCGGTAAATTAGGATTCTTTCATTTGTATTTGGAATGTGCACATGGTTATTTTAAGGAGGAAGGAGGGCTTGTGGTTGATCTCAAACCATTGCAACTCATTGTGGAACAGTTGGGGTTCAATGGCTTTGAACAAGGTTCTGCACTCTACTAGGTTTCTTGAGTACAGCTCTATGAGTGAAGCTAATGAGTACCAAAGATTTAATCACCGCAAGGTTTGGTTTGATTCGTGTAGTGGTTCTAGTGTCAATACTAGATGTGGGTTGAGCTTGAGAGGTTGCTTGGATCGCCACGATGGGAGCGCAAAGGCTCGTGCAATGGCGGTTAACCGCCAGTTGGTTCGTGATCCGAGTGCTATTCTTAGGGACGAGGTGGGGTTGAAGTTGGTGAATGGAAATGAAGCTTGCAAGAATGGGAGGCCCCTTGGGTCTAATAATCTGTTGATACCGGAGAAGATGGTTGTTGCTGTTGACGTGGATGAAGGTATGTGTTCTTAGCTTTCGTAGTAGTCTAACATCATCGTAGAATTTGTATGTTTAGTTTGCCTTAGGTTTATGATATTGCTGGTTCATGCGTTTGGATTGTGGGATAAGCCGTGTTTTTGTTGCAGACAATATGGTTTTGAGGTAAATATTGGATACAAATAGGATGAAGGTTTATATAAAACAACAGCAACAAAGAATTTATCTCAAAATTTTGGGTTTGACTACATGAATCCTACTCTTCCACTTGGTCCCATTGATGCTATCTTGTCCACGAAGTTAATCATTATCATATCATTAACAACTTCTAACCAAATTCTCTTGGGCTAGCTCTAGGTCTCCTTTCTCTGTTAGTTATAGTCTCATCACTTCTGCTTGTAGGTGCATTTAACGGCCTTCATAGCCCATGACTGAACCATCTCCAAATATTCTCTCATTCTATCCTCAATAAGAGCGACCTCTAACAACCTATGAAGCTACACTTTTTTTTGTAGATGTTGCTCTTAACTGCCCAACAACATTCTGATCCATAGATCCTTGTTGGATCTTCTAGCTGACCTATAAAATGTCCCCTTCAATTTCAGTTATACTCTTCAATCACATATGCCTTCAAAAGTAGTCCTCACTTAAAGCATCCTGATTTGATTCAATGAGCCACACAAATATTGAAGTATAAATCTATATACAGTTTAGGCTATGGTTTCTGTATCCTGTTCCTTAATGCAAGTTGGAATATGCTAACTCTAAATTCCGCTGTCATTGTCAGAATGCTTGAGTGTACTATGTATAATGAAAGTTTTTTTATTCTCAAAAACGATATGTTACTTATGTCATCACGTTAATGCTCAATAATTATATATTTACTTTTATGTCATCACATTAATGCTTAATAACAGCATATCATCCTACATCTTTGGGACCTATTGGAGCATTTAAAGCATTCTGCACCCTGTTGAGGGGCTCAATTCACATGGTAAAAGGATCTAAATGCTTTCTAGTATTTGACTACCATATATTGTTGCTCAAATCAGGGTCAGGCGGTGTTGACTTAAGCATTATATGGGCTACTCTAATTATATTATTTCCTTTTAACCTTTTAGGTCTTACCAACGAAGTACCTTTATATGTTTAAGGAAATTACAAAACCCTTCATTTAAGCCTTGTTTTCTGGTACCCATCATTTATTAAACTTGACGAAGAACTTCCTGGACTAGTCTAAAGTTATTTTCTCACTGATGGATTAAGAAAATTATGGTTTGATGAATCAAAAGAAAATGACAAAACATCCTCATTCCTACCTTCAGTAACAAATTGCCAAACGAAAAAAGAAAAGAAAAACTTCACATGGAGAGTGATTTGAGCTGAATCCTTCCTCTTCCTCCCCATTATTTGCATTGACTCGTGCAAACCCGCTCTCCAGTTTCCTTCTTTGCTCTTCTCTTCATCACCCTCCTTTGTAGAACTTGTCACCCACCTCCTCAACTCAAACTAATCCAGACGACAGCTCCATCAAAATGTGAAGCAGGGTCCTAGTGCCTAACATTTTCAGGAGGGTCCAGTATAATTTAGCCTCTTGCTAATTGTTGTTGAGATTAAAATTTGTTGTTAGATATGATCAATGTTTTAAAAATAGGTCAATTTTGTTGATTTATCGCCGATATATAGGGTTTGGGCCATGGCCGATGCGATTTTTGTAAAATTTATCGCATATCACTTTGGCCGATTTGTCCCGATATATTGGTGTAAATCTGATAAATCGGTCGATTTCTTCTGGGTTAAAAATCGCTCGATTTTCTACAATTTATAGTTTAAGTGAACCGGTTTGAGTTTGGAGGCAAAAACCCTTTTTTTTGCATATCCAATGCCCATCCACTAAACAAAAGTCATGCTATCACATTCTGTTTCGCATCCGCTCATCGTGCAACCTTAATTCTCTCTGCCTCCACTGTCATTTTCCCCAAATCACTTGCAAATTTCTCGCTCAAAGACCTCTATCAACAACCTCTCTCGAAGACCTTCTCTCGATATTTCATTAAATGTGCTTAGATTATGTTTTAGGACATTATATTATATGTGTTGACCATCCAACATGACATTCCGATTTTTACTACTTATCCCCGAAATATTCCTGATAACCGGGATCCGATATGAATTTTGGTCATCTGATATATTTCCAATAACCAATATCTAAAACCTTGGATACGATTGCATTAAATGACGAAATAGATTAAAAATTATTGTTTTATGAAGTTATTCTTTCTGCCATAAACTGCTTCTACGATTCTTTCAACCATGTCTAGGTTTTTTCACTCAAAAAAAAAGTCCATTTTCTGTTTGGATAATGAAAATGGTATACATCATTGAGGCCCGGTTTCATGAGTTTTCTTTCTGTAAAATATCATCTAATATGATCTGTCATAATTCTTCCTCATTTCTACTGGTTACTTTTAAATTGGTCATTTTATAAAGTCTAAAAATTATCATCTCCAACATGTTTAACTATAACATATATGCCCATCCATGTCCATCACTTGGAAATACATAAAACTTTGTTCATTTCATGGAGTACAAGATGTATGTTCTAACCTACTTTTGACAAAAGCTACTCGATATATTGATCAATTACCATTTTAAGTTTCTTACCAAAATAGTGTATCTACACGAGTTGTGTTCGCGTTCGTGCATGACACTAAAATACTTCCCCACGTCTAGAGTTTAGAGGGTTGTATCCAACACGCTGTCTGCCATCAAGTAAGACACTCGTGTTGGTCATTGAATATTAGCCTTCGCAAGTTGTTTCTTTTATGAGTTCATGTATGAATCTGGAAATTGGGATGCTTTCATTTCTTGCATCTCCAGTGCGTATACTGTAGAGACTATGTTGTCTTTATTGTTGTTGAATTTCTTATATCTTAAAGTGATAAGTTTGCCATTAGCTTGTTATTGTCAGGATCTGAGCAATAAGTTAGCTGATTTTTTTTCTATATCTTTTCTTTTCATTATTATGCACAAAATTAACGTTTTTTAAGAAACAAACTACTATCTCAATATGTATCACTAAGGGTCAATATTTGAGTAGTTTTCTCACAAAAAACATAAAGCATTATGAATGTTTCAAGCATCGTGGTGACGTAATTGTAGAGTAAACTGCTCTCGAATGCTTTTCTTAGTTACTAAATGATTTTCAGTTCTTGGAAGCTTTCTTGCAGCATTGAACAAATTCATTGCTGACAGATACTCGTTGAATCACACTGTGTCGGATTACTACGTATATGAGTTCTTCAGGGTAAGCTTCTGTTAAGTAATGAAGTCTCTAAATCTTAAAGACTGCTTGTAGTGAAGCTTGTTCTAGCTTCCCACCTTGGTCCTTTTAATGAATTTTGGTTATGTGACGTCTGAATTTGCAAAGCACGATTGCTTATTCAGTTTTTTTTTTTTTTTGCAGATATGGAATTGCTCTCGAGCTGAAGGTACTGTAAGATCCATAATACCTTTTGTACCTTGTCATTTGCCTACTTGTCATATTATATTTCACATATAAGCCGTTTCTTGTTCTTTTTGGCAGCTGATATCCGAGTGCATGAGTTTTTTAAAACTCATTATTTCACATCTGGAATTCATCCCATTCCAGGAGCTAGAGATACTCTTCATAAGCTGTCCTCATTTTGTAATCTTTCTGTTGTGACGTAAGTTTCTTGTATGTATTATATTTGTTAAATTCTTTGTTCTTCACAACTAGTGAAAAATTTATACACCCGACTGGAATACCTTCTCTTCTGTTAGATCTCGGCAGAATGTGATAAAAGATCATACACTACAGTGGATTGAGCAACACTACCCTGGTCTTTTTCAAGAGATTCATTTTGGCAACCATTTTGCTTTGGATGGGAAATCAAAGCCTAAATCTGAAATTTGCAGGTATGATTAGAGTTCTTTTCCTTTCATTTCATTTTTAACACCTTGCCATTTTCAGATTAGGTTGGGTTTGGCACTTTTGTTTATCCTAGCTGACCCACGTGAATTTAAATTGTACCCATTTGATTTATTTATTTATTTATTTATTTTGCCGTATTTTTTTGATTTGAGGGTTGCCTCTTTTCTTTCCTTCATTTTTCTTCTGGGTACTGATTTTTGTAACTAAACCAGGGTCCAAAACCTTTCTTATTTGATTGATTGATATTGTCCAAACAATGCAATCAGCATTGTATAGGTATAATTTTAGTAATAACACATTGCACGTGTGAACTTTATTACTATTACATGAGAAATTTTGCTGAATTCAAGCCGTTGACTAAAAATAAGCTTAATTTTTCTCGAGTAGGAAAATAAAAATTGTCACTAATTTCACTATAGTAAGTGTGTTTGAACTTTTCCCCTCGCTAAGTCATGCAAAGTTAAGAAGTTAGTGCTGCCTCGAAAAACTTATCTCAGTTTCGTATTGCAGATCTCTAGGAGCTCAAGTTTTGATCGATGACAACCCTAGATATGCTCTAGAATGTGCTGAAATTGGTATCAGAGTTCTCCTCTTCGACTACTACAATTCATATCCATGGTGCAAGAATGATACCGTTGATTCACACCCTCTTGTGACCAGAGTCAAAGACTGGGAAGAAGTAGAGCAGAATTTAGCCTCATTGGTAGTGTCATAGGAGCTCTCCTCTCAATGAAGAGTCTTCCCATGTTCAAATGAATTACGACGAAAGACTATGTACAGAGGATATTTAGAAAAGTAGAATAAAATGCTACTGCAGAACACATACGTGAAATTTTACCTTGGGGCTTGTTTGGATTGAGGGGAATGAGGGTGAAGGGAAGTTAGGGGAACCATTCACCTCCATTCACCTTGTTTGGGAACACTTAGGAGGTGAAGTTAATTCACCCTAGTTCCCCTTGGTTCACCCCCAAATAGTATAAAATTTGTTACCTCCCAAATTGGGGTGTAACCAAGGGGAAGAGAACTCCCTTCCCTTCCATTCCCTTCCCTTCCATTCCCTTCCCTTCTCTCAGTTTCCCATAACTTCCCTTCACCCCCTACAAATCCAAACAGGCCCTTAGGGAGAGACGCTAATCATGCAGTTGTATTGCAAGTCAAAACATCAAGTGTACACTCTTGAAAATGTTCTTTAGTTCATTGTAGCAAACTATTTCAATTATAAATCAATTTCTATGAGATTACAATGATCTGAAACAAATTTATATAGAAATTTCAGGTTTTGGTGTAACTGATGTTGTGTGGTTTGGTAAAGACGCCATTTGTATTTACAATTATGAATAGAGAGGCACTCATCAAACGTTTTGTGAAAATGCATTTTTTTTTGTAATTGAGAAAGGGGACCTTTTTTTTACTGATTGTAACTGCAAAAATAATGCTGCAAAAATAACAAAAAAAATGTGTGACCACTATTGTCTTTTTGCAAAATACAGTCCCACTACAAATTGCAGTTGCAACAAAACCAGAATAAGCTACTGAATCGTTATGCAGACAATTGAGTACTTCCATAAGTAAGCATGTATTGCACTGGAGCTTTTTGATCAGAACAATGGAATTATGCATTGCAGTGACATGAAGTTATTCATGCTCCAGAGCCCACTGTCAGTTTTTATTTATTCTTTTTCCAAACGAAATAAGAAAGCTAGAAGCACACTCAGTAACCTTTTTTTCTTTCTTTTAAAACGATTTTCTTGTTCTTGGCTGAAGCAAATAAGCAGACTCTGATTATCTAGTAATAAAACAAACTTACCAACACTCAAAAAAAGGAGAAAGGATTCTCTAAAAATCTCTTATAATGCACCCTGAACTTTTCATACATCGTGACTATAACAACACGCTTACACTCTTCTCGTCTCAAGTCACTCTATAAATAGGACCAAAAGCATTGGCACCTGAAGCATGTCTCTTTACGTCTAAGCACACGTAAGGGGCCTCACTCTCTTCGGCCCTTGTAGGAGTGAACCATCCAGCAAGAGGGCCGGAGGCCGGGCGGTCGACGCGGCGGCTGATACCGTCTCCGCAGATCAGACCAGAGACGGACACGTGTCTTCTTTTCGAGGCATTGGAGCCATTGGATGGCTTGGTTGCCATTCCTCCATGGATTTCTCCTCCTCTCTTCGTTAGTTTCCTCCAAAAGAACAAGGTGCCCTTCCATGATCTCTCGCCCTTGTGAATTCTTGATGGTGTTGCGTTTGTATGTGAGTGCATGTTGGGGTTGAGTTTTGCATCATTTGCGTACTTCCTTGCTTCTTCCAAGAACTGAATCAAAGCCAAGCACAGAGTTTTAGCCATCAACTCAACAGGTGTATTAATACTAAATGTATTGTAATTAGTGCATATTTTCATGTCACTAACCAAAGATCAAGGAGAATTAAGGTGTCAGTGATCAGATGAGTACCTTTGAGAAATCAACATGGGGATCATAATCGAGCTCACTAAATTCTCCATTCCCATCCTTTGAGAATATGGGAGTCCTCCTCATTTTTCAAACCTACATGAAAACTATCAGAAGTAGGTGTGAAAGTTAAACAATATGAGGATAAAATAAACACCTATATAAGATAAAACAAACATTTCCTCATTTGAAACAAGTGGCCAAAGGCCAACTTCGAAAATCAAGTACAATAGACCAAGAGATTCAATGAGAACAAAAGTGGTTGAGATATTTCTTTGTGGGGAGAAGAATAGAGGGTGGCAATGAGAATGAAGGTATAAAAGCGTTGATTAATGAAGAATGTAAGTTACTATACCATGCAATAATACTAATAAATTAGGAAAAAGAGTAATGGGTATTTGATTTATTGAATGCTTTTGGAAGGAGAGTTGATACTGATATCAATGTCAGTTGATCATATTGAGCATTTGCGTTGAGAGTTTTTACTTTGCACAATAATAGGAGAGAGAGAATTCTAATTGAGTCAAAGGCCTTATTAACATCTGACATTTTCTAAAAGGCAAAGTCTTTAAAAGAGAGAGAAGATCATATATATATCGTACTTTTTTTAATTACTCGTATTTTTTATACTTACTCTAATACTCTAATAGTAATATAAAAATATACATTGTACATATTTAGCACTATTACCTGTAAATTGTTCAAAGCAGTCTCTAATATCATCAAGAATGAACAATAAACAAAAATAACAACCGTGAACAGGCTAATTATTCATTTGATTTTCATTTAATTGTAGTGGCCTACTGGAGAATTTCTACCATGGGAAACTAATATATATAGGCATATTGACTAGAGGTTAGTATAATTATTTTTAACACCAGTATTTTTTTCCATATTCATTGCATTTAACAAAACATTGCGCATCATGTAGCTTGTTTGACTAGAAAACATATACTCAAGCTTGGACACTAAAATAAGAGGTAGGCGTTGACAATTTGCATCATGCAGCATGTTCTTATAGGAAGACGCTTACTAATCACGGCCACATAAATAGTACAATCAAGGATCAATGAAATGTGAATAATTTCATATTAGAAAATCCTAAACAAAAACTTCAGGTGCACAATGAATTGGCTTGGCACACACAAAATTCGTAAAATACATGGTCCATGCAAAATTGATCTTTTCACATCCTAATCCTTGACACCTATTGGTTTTAATTTGGAAGAGCTAAAACATAAACCCAACTAGTATTATAGAGCTCTGGAAGTGATGACAACACTAGGTATAAGTTGCAAGTACTCATATTTCAGATTTCACTACCATTGATCCCAAAAAAAAAAAAGATCAACCTTGGAAACCTAGCTGAAATAAGCTATTGAACTCGAAAGAAAGAATATTTCTGTAATTGATGCAAAATTATAAAAAGACTTCAAATCTTGTTCAACCTATACACTATTTTGAGCACATCCTCAAGAAAACTTCATTTATCTGCTTATTTGTCAAGTTACACAAGCCTTAAGAAAGATCAAATGACTTTTCATTACAGGCTATACCTATTTATAGAATTTGACAAAGCCTTCAGCAGATGCCTGTCAAGGCTCTTTGAGCAGTTACAGTTATTTAGATACATATATCATATCCACAACAATGTTGCTTCAATCCATCTTGAGCTCGACCTCCTTTATAAGAATATATTCGAACCGAGGCTCCACAGAAATAGATAATATTTGTTGTGGAGCTTCTTATTGTGTATTATCCTTTGCACCTTCGTGCTAAGCTGATAAAGTCTCAACTTTCTCCAGAAGCTTTATTCCTGATGCTTCTAAGATATCCAATGCTGTCAAGTAACACCAACACATATATCAATATTAACAGAAATTACTAAGCCTGAAGTCTAAATATTGATGCAGTCCCAAGATTGACTACTAATTACTGAACTAAATTGATCTAACTCTTAATTATTCTCAAAATAGACGTCAGTCAAATCTTTCTTCAATTAGGACTTGGGAGTCAAAAAATAGAACCTTAGGCCAAACTTTACTTGCATCAAGTGTACCTGGCATGTAGACCTCTGGTTCAAGGGGTCGAATTACTCCTCTTGTTTGAACCTTGTTCTGAAGCAAAAGCTGCATAATCACAAGTAGCAAGATGTATTAGACCTTTTACTGTTATCAGGATTCATAATACCTTCAGCGAATTACCATACTGCATACATACCAATACTCCGATTGCAGCTGGGATGCCAACAGTGAGAGCCATTGCTGTGCTTGTCTTCCCATTTTGAGTTCTCCCAAACTCTAATAGAGTGGCTCGGTGGTTCTCGTTTGGTCTACCATCAGGAAACTCTACTTCCACTTCATGATGCAGGAGCACCATGTCCTATGACCAAATAAAAACACATTAACCTGTTGTTTGAAATTTTGAAATATACCGTTTGTAACTCTAGATTTCGCGCACTAATGACATAGAGTGCAGATACAGATACAATAATTAGGTTGGAGACAGTGAACAGTTGTAGAAGATATGACAAGTTGGATAATTTCAATTATTATGTCAGTCAAATTTGCCCAATTTGGAAAAAATCAGTAATGGGCAAGGAGCAACTTTATAATAATAGAGATGGTGAAAGTTTTGGAATATTTAAATATAGATTCTAGCTTCACATTTACCCAACGTGCAGAGTAACTTGACATGCAAGAAGCAGTAACCCATATAACATCATCTCCCAAGTTCTATATTTTCTTAGCAAGAAATGTGCAGAGGAGCTCTGAGTCAGAAACCGAAACCGTCATAATACTATTCAAATATTATGAATTACTATTCCTATTTTATCTGCATAGACCATTATCTTGCTTCAGGAGAAATATTCTATGTATCACCTGTTGTTGTCCATTTTTAAATGGAGATTTTTTTAAAATAGGTCACTTTTACTAAATATTTAGCAAAACTGGCCTCTTTTTGGTCAGCTCATCAAAGCTGGCCAAAAGGAGGTCGTTTTGCTGAATATGACCTTTGAAACACATGTGACTACCAATCCTGAGTATTTAGCGGACACTAATCATCCACTAAACGAAACTCAGAAAACCCACGGGACTACTAGTCCTGTGAGTTTTCTGAATAGTTTTCAGAAAATGCACGAGACTAGTAGTCCCGTGGATTAGACAGAGACTTCGTGTCTGCTGCCTAGCAAATCCAGGGGACTAGTAGTCCCGTGGATTTGTCGGGCCTATAGAAGCCTCAGTTATGCCCAAAAATTAGGGCACAACCATCATCACTTTCTCTCAACATCTCTCCCAATCTCTCTCCCAAATTTGATAAACCCCCTCCCAATCTCTCTCCTCCATTCCACTGATTCTCTCCCAAATCACCTATTTCTCCCTCAAATTTCTCTCTTATTCTCTCCAAACTCATACTCTCCAAACCCAAATTGAGATTTCCCCAAAGTTCACTCCTGCATTGTTGATCTCTGATGCTGTCTAGCCTCTCCAACACCGGTGAATTTTAGAACTTCATCAAGGTATAATTTTCTTATTGTTTATAATTGCTTCTCTACTATTTAGTTAAAATTGTAATGTGGAAATAACTGTATATTTAGAATAATTTTTTTAATTATGATAAACAATAGAATTTGGTTAAAATTTGATAGATTAAAATTGATATAGAGGGTCTTTCAACTACAGTTTAACTAGTAGCTAAAAATAAGATATATAAAATTTAATTTTGAATAATATAAATAATTTACATATCATGAATGTTAATATTTCAGTTCAAATAGCGAATGAAATACCGATTATTTGCTTATTCAATGGTAAACTGAGTGTTGGAAATAATAATATGCCTATATATGAGGGAGGATCTAGAAATTACAACTTTGATGGAATGATGGAGCATATATACGTTGTCGCTAGAATTAATCATGCAGAATATGCTACTAAAGTTTTCTGTAATTGTCTGATAAATAAAAAAAGAATAATTGATGTAGAGATCACCAATGATCAAGAACTGAGTGACATGATACAACCTGCGGAAAACCAAATCTCAATTGAGTTGTTCATTGAAAATATTCCAATATCCGGTATTGCCCAAGCTTCATATGCTCCTGAAGAGTTCTCTCGGATGCTTGACTTAGAAAATAACTCGAGCGTATTCATTTCATCTCCAAGTGTCATGCACTTAGAAAATATCTCGTGTGTAATGACATGGACTCAACCTTCTTATTGTGCAACGTCAAGTGATATGTTCCACAATGCTTCGGGTCATGTTACGGTTAATTTACCAGTTGGTTCTATTGTAGAAGAGGATGAGGATGCAGATGCAGATGGTGATTATGAAGATGCTGAAGAGGAGGAACATCTTAATCGCATGCAGTGTGCAATTGGAGGAATCAATGAAGACACCCGTTGGATGGATGAATTTTGTGTAAACAATGATTATGTGAAATCTGAAGACCCGTTGCCAGAAGAGTTTCAAAATGAGGAGTGGATAAATGCCTTACAAGTTGAGTTTGTTGAGCTTGATTCTAATTACGAACGACCCGAGGACTTTACTTTCGAAAAAGGAGACTATTCGAGAATAAGGAAATCTTGGTTTTCGCTATACGTGAATGGTCAATCAAGAATCAGATCACATTCAAGCTGGTGAAAACTAATACAACCAATTATCATGTAAAGTGCTACTTCAACGAGAAAGCTCAAGGAGAGTATGCAAGTGCTCAAGACGAAAAAAATTCAAAATGTCCATGGAACCTTAATGCAGCTGTTAGGAAAAAAAATCTAATGGGCAATTTATGATCTCTAGTTATTACGGACTTCATACATGTTACAATCCAACTGTCAATGTCGATCATAAGGCAGCAACTTCCTATTATATCTTGAAGCTACCAAGTCAGATAATTACAAGGGTATACAATATGAAAAAAATAACTATATCCAAATATAAAGCATATGACACATGGAGGAAAGTGTTGACTAAAATCTTTGGAGATTGGGAGAAATCTTACGAACTACTTTCGTAATATCTTGAAGCAATTAACAGGAAAAATCCAAGTACTGAATATAAAATATTGTCTAAAGAGATCACACCAGGAGTGGAGAGGTTCATACAAGTATTTTGGGCATTTCAACTCGCTATCAAAGGGTTCTCATTTTGTTGTCCACTCTTGAGCATCGATGACATACATTTATATGACAAGTACAAAGGAGTGCTCTTGGTTGCGACCGGTGTAGACGCAAATGGTGGGCTATTTCTATTGACTTTCACAATTGTTGAGGTGAAAGAAACATCGAGTTGGAAGTAATTTTTTCAATGTATTTATAGATTCATCATTACTATTCAAAGTCCTAGAACGATTACTTTTATTTTCGACCGGATGAAAGGAATTTCGTGGGCCTTGCCCGAGGGGCTTGGAACACCACATCATCACCGGTATTGCTTGAGGCATATAAGAGATAATTTAAAAAAACACGAAGAGCTCAACTTACAAAATCTATTGTGGCAAACCAGGTGTGCAGTCGACACACTGATATATGAGCATTGTAGGGAGAAAATTAAGTCTCTATCAGTTAAAGCACATAATTGGATTGAACAAAACTTAAAACCACAATACGAAAATCGATGGGCATTATGTAAGGATGGTGGAGTGCGCTATTATATGATGATAACTAATTGTTCTGAAAGTTTCAATGTCGTACTCAAGGGTGTCCGAGCTATGCCAATTCAAGCCTTGGTTGCAAGAACGTTATATAGATTAAACACATACTTTAATAAGAGACACGGTGATAGTGTAAGTTGGACGACGAGTTACACTCCAAAAAATGAGAGTATTCTGCAGAAAAGGATTGTGGCTGTAAAATCATGTAAAACTACTCCATTTAACGGCAATTAATAGGAGGTTAAAGATTGTGAAGGTACTTACACCGTTTATCTCTTTGGCCGGGAGTGCAGTTATACTTGTAATATACCACAATTATAAAAATTACAATGTGAACATCTTTTATACTAACAAATTATTTTTCATTGTTGTGCAGAGAGGACCATGTTAGTCATGATTGATCATAGCCTCGGACATACGAGTTGGCCACTTGAAGATGAGCGTATTATTGCTTTGGTACCCTAAGCAGGTCTTCTCACATGCTCGAGGCTATGGTGGATGAAACTCGATTGGACATTACTTAATGCATTGATGGATAGATGGAGGCCAAAGACTAACACGTTTCATCTACATGTCGGCGAGTTGACTATTACTCTCCAAGACATAGCAATAACCCTTGATCTCTGCATTTATGGTCCTTGTGTTACAAGGACAGATAGACATGTGCAGTGTTGACTTTGTGATGAGTTGTTAGGAGTATCTCCGGAGTCATTGCCTGGAGTATATTAGATTGAAGTGGCTCTGAGAAAATTTCACACACCCGTTGCCAAAAGATGCATCCCAACTCGTGATCCAACAACATACTCGTGCATATATTTGCACATAATCGGGACACTTCTATTCCCTGATTCAAGTAAAGATAAAGTACATTTAAGGTAATATAATTATTCCTAATATTTAACTATTTGTCATTTTTGCTAGATTATTACTCATTATTCATTAAATACGACTAAATGCGTTTTTATTGTGATAGGTGGCTACCACTTCTCCGAGACTACGACATGTGCGGGATATTATCATGGAGTAGTGTTGTTTTAGCATACCTATATAGAAAATATTGAAAGTTTCTTTTAAGCACAATAAAGAGCTCAAGAGGTGTTTGACATTATTACAAGTTCGCGCATGGGAAAGATTGGTTTTGAAACCAAGATTATGCAAAACGCGAGTTTTAGATAGATTCCACTAGGTTGCAGGTAAATAATTTCAGATCTAATTAAAGTATATTTTGTTTTGAATTTTAATTATAGTACTAAAAGCTAACCTTTTTTCATTCATGTAGATGGAATGTCCAAAAATGATACGATGAGGCTCCGGCAAGACAATCAGATTTTTACAGAGAGCTTGATCGGATAAAAAATTTTCAGGTATCGAATTTTAATTTAAGTCAATTTAAGCTACCGATATATTTCAAAGAGTTACTAATATATAGAATATTTTGTATTTTGACTGGCAGCCATACGACTTGCATGGAGGGGCACGGTATATGAAGAGCTAGAGTTCCTTTCATTTGCTTTGAAATTATGGAGATGCATGTGCCGGATGTGCCGGATCGCGTGCTTAGGCAGTTTGGTTTCGCGCAGCATGCTCCACAAGAAGTAGAAAGAATAGAGAGAAAAACGTCCAAGGGTAGGCATCAGATTGAATGAGAACTTGTATATAAAGACTACATTCATAGATGGAATGATTGACATTTGAGTATCATCGAGCAGCTTTATCCTCCAATGGAGGAAACATATTATATAAGATGGTATTGGCGGATTACCAGAAGATGGATAATCACTCAAACCACGCCTCCAATTGACGAACTCGAGATGCGTTCACAACAAGCAAGATACGTACCGAGGGGTGTAGATGATAAAGAATGGGTTAGTAATTTCAAATAGTTTTCCATCCATTTGTAGTTTTTTAACCCTTTGTTAGCTTTTTGGTTGTTTATATATATCTTTTTACGTAATTGTAGATAGACGCTACGGATGAGATAGAGAGGATTGCAAATGAGGGCATAGCTACTGCCAGAGGAGATTCAATACATGTATCGGTCTTGCAACAGATAGTGCGGAGAGTTCGTAGAGCTCTTCATCGAACCCATGAGGATCAGCATAATGGTTGCGAGCAGATGACGCGTGAGGAGAGGGTATATGTACGTTAATGAAGACGAGGTGGATCTTGCTCGCATGACAATGAAGCTGGTCCGTCTCAGCGCCAAACACAACCAAAGAGCGAGCACGTACAAGCTCAAGTTGAAGGAGGACGTTGATGATTGGAGCGGGTACAAGAGGCAGACAACGAGGGGTGGACTTTTAGGTTGTATATGATAGTTTATTAGTTTTTCTGCTTAGACTCTATTTGTAACTGCATATACTTGTTACATTTAGATTTGTTAGGAGTATTTTAGCGTATGGATATAAATATAAGTTATCTATTGTGTTGTGATGTTGTGAATTAATTAAGTGTGTTTTAATTTATGTTTATTTCTTAATGTTTATAACTTATACAACGATTATACTGTTTAGCAATGTATATAAGGCGGATGTTATATTTTTTTGTGCATGTTTAGCAATGCATATGAGGTATATATTCATGCAAGTATGATATGTGCATGTTTTGGTCTGCCTAGCAAATTCACGGGACTAGTAGTCCAGTGAATTTGTAGGACAGCAGAGACGAAGTCTCTGTCTAGCATACAGGACTACTAGTCTCAGTCTGGTGCGTTTTCTAAAAACTATTCAGAAAACTCACAGGACTAGTAGTCTCATGTGTTTCAAAGGCAAGATTCAGCAAAACCGAAGTTGGCCAAAAATAGGTTGGTTTTGCTAAATATTTAGGAAAATGATCGATTTTGCTAAATATTTAGCAAAAGTGGCCTCTTTTTAAAAAAATCTCCTTTTTAAACTGTTGAGTAAATTTTCTCTGTATTACCTTTATATCCGTCACTTATTACTTTCATATTTTCATTAAATACGATGCCTTTTTTGTATGTTTAGAAAGATTACTAGAGCATAAACAATTTCTAGTCTCTAAATCTAATTTAACCAAAGAAAAAAGTTTATGTTAGAAGGAGAATAAATCCTTTTACCTGCTCTTCACCAGTGTAAGATAATCTCTCTTCCATCCGCAAACATACAACATCGAATGCACTAGAGCATGCTACAGGGATTTTATCATCCTCATTAAGCCCTAAAAACCTGATTCATAGTACATACGTGTATAGTGAGTTAAACAGGGAACTCTACCTGCATAAATTTCAGTGGATATGGCTGAAAAAAACATGGTAGATGTTTATGTTTGGTATAAGAATATGATTCAGAGGGCCAAAGGAGCAAGGGAAAATTAGACTGAAGACTCTCTAGCAAAGATTGGGAAAAGGGGAAAAAAAGCTAAGCGAATTTGGAAATAAGTTATGGATATAAAAATTGCCGAAACTGAGCATGCTCCATTAAACAAAAGGCTGACTGGGTTTCATTTTGTAATGTTTTCTGTTAAATCAGTACAATCTAACTTGGTATCTACCTTCTGTAAATAAATGTAGTATTTTTTTCCTGCAACAGCTTGTCAGATTTTATTTCCACTGTTACAGGTACTAATAGATTTATGGATACTTTTTATATTAATTAATATAAGTTGGCCCTTAGCTGGAAGCTTATTTAATACAAGTTCCGAAAACATTGTTCATCAATACTGGAATTTTTCCAGGTTAAAATCTTCTTTCATTTGAATTTTCTTAGAAGTACCAGCTTAGATCAAAGGGAGATATGGATCTTCTAATAAAAATCTCACAAGTTATTTGTGATTTATTCATGCAAGAGAATCTAAAGCAAGTAAATTTAAATCACTGGCTCAGAAGGGCAGCAGTCCTTAACTTGATAGTTTTGATTGTCTTAATTGCTGTTGTCATTTCTTTGCAGAGCCCGAGCATAATCATCCTCCTGACCATTTCTTTCTCATCTGCAATCGATCGTTCAAGATCCTCAGAGATCGCATGATTCAAACTTCTGGGTTTCAAAAGTTCAATTAGAAAGGCCCTGAAAGTTGGTCTTTTGTCTTCTTTCAAAATAGGATGAACTTCAGCGTCAAAAAACCCAATTTTTGCTAGACAAGCCATTACTTCACTAAACCCTGCACAAGCGACAAAAGACTTAAACATGTATGCACAACATGTAAAGAACAAACAAAAGAGAAGGTCAAGATGAAGATATACAAGTTTTTGTGTGAGAAAAAGGGAGTTCAGAATTATACCTTGATATCGGAGGGTCGCACGAAAAATGGTTGAGGCTTCCTTACTAATTCCATAAAGATCTCCATATACTAAAGAATTTCGATTGGGAAGGTATTCCAAAGAAAAAGCAGGTAGATCTGGTAAGCGGAAACTTGCTGCTGAATCGTAGAGTTCTCTCCCTACACAAAGTTTATTGGAAAAGTGCAGAGATATCGGTACTAATGCATATGAAAGAACTTTGAATGTATATAAACACATGGATGATAACTATGAATATATAAACATATGGATGTGAATTTACTAGGTATAGTTGTTTTATTGGCTCAGCAAGTCCTAGCCTCCTATGTGAAATTACTAGGTACAAATTTGTTCTAAATTTCAGTTTTTGACACAATTTTGACAGTTCTCAGATGATTCTTAAACTCTACTATAACATATTTTTATATTTTAAAGTACTTGTTCCAAACTAATTGCACATTGAAAGATGTATTTTCAAAACTTCCAAGTTCAGAAAACATATCATAGGGGGGAAAACTCAAAAGTGGTCACAGGAAGACAACAATATTGATATACCTAGGGTTTATTACAACATAAGAAGTGATATACGATAAATTATTTTACAAAAAGATGGAAAGTCAAGACCTGTCCCCATTAAGAATCATGAAAATTATAGCTTATTCTATTACATGATATTTCATTCATATGTCTAAAAAGCATGTAGAGCATACTAGGATCATTGTCCACCATGCACTTTTGAGAATCATAACCCTTTACATACACCACAAACAAAGACACACATATGCATTTATTTGATTTTGGAAGAAATGTATGCATTTATGTAAATTCTCCTAGAGAATCAACATACCATCAACCTGTACAATATTGCCATGAGACTTGTAAATTGCTGGATTCCTTCCTGCCCGAATAGCTCCAGCTGGGTTCCAACTAAAAATGCAATAAGAAAAACTAATTATCAATAATCTAAGAATGTCACTGTGAATATATAGCTTGCGCTTGATATATAGCAAAACACATAAACATGCAAAATAAAAATTAAAATATAACCGATGATGCCATGTTGGGATAAAATACAATGGAGAAATTTGTTCTTTGCAATAGTGGAAAATCTCATCAGGGGCATGAGTTCTGCATACATTCTGATTCTTGTTCTCTGCATTTATTTTTTCCAGCAGGTAAGCTTCAATAAAGATACTCAAACTAAAAATTGAGAAATAATATTATATGCAGTCCAATTACACTTTTAGGGCTTGTTCATATAATATAATTGTTCGCTCACTTATTTGTGCGCTGATGAGAAGTCAATAAAGATACTCAAACTAAAAATTGAGAAATAATATTATATGCAGTCCAATTACACTTTTAGGGCTTGTTCATATAATATAATTGTTCGCTCACTTGTTGTTGTACATATATCTTCCTTTGTTTCAATGAAATAAGATTATAAAACATCATATTTCCGCATAATCATGGCTATTAAAATGAAAATACCTACTTATGCATAAAATTAAGTTTCATAAATTACCTGAACTTGTAGGCCAGTGGGTTGTTTGCAGCAGGCGGAGATGGAAGGCCACCACAATATGAAGTGAAAGATATTATTTTTCCTTTTCTGGCATGTGCTTGGTTTATCATCTTCATTGCCATCATATGATCTTCACATGCAAAATAAAATGCGTTAAGAAGAAATTATAGCCATAAGTAGAACCTTCAGTGCATCAACCAATTGGAAAGCTTCCAAATTTTTCTTCCAACAAAACAAATACCCCCTTTACTATGATAGGTTTTTTATTGCTTATTCCATCAAGAAATTTTTATTTTAAAGAAAAGGCCAAAAAATAGCAGTAATGAGTTTCTTTTATAGAGCCAGTAAGTGCAAGTTTTATTTGTTGATTAACGAATTGGGATTCTACGATGTTCAGAAATTTTTCTAAATTTTTCTTCCAATTGGAAAGCTTCTAAATTTTTCTTCCAACAAAACAAATACCCCCTTTACTATGATAAGTTTTTTATTGCTCATTCCATCAAGAAATTTTTATTTTAAAGAAAAGGCCAAAAAATATGAGTAAGGAGTTTCTTTTATATAGCCAGTAAGTGCAAGTTTTATTTGTTGATTAACGAATTGGGATTCTACGATGTTCAGAAACCTGGGATATGAATGAAGATTCGAGATACCATTTATACAGTAAGCTCTATCCCACATATAAGAGGTATCAGTCTGACAAATTGTCTATCTTGCTGATATACCAACATAAGCTAATTAACTTATAACTGATGATATTGTTGAATTTTGAAGTATATACCTACCGTTGATACTACAAGATATTTACTAATGATAGTAAAGGTTCACAATACTATCGAATACTACCTATGCCAGGATCCAAGCCCATTTCGCCAAGAATTGCAACACCAGCACCTTTGGCCTTTTCATGTAATCCTGACATTGAGTCATTAACATAGCTTGCAGTCACGAGGTGCTTTTTGTGCTGTAGTAAACAGATACACATGTCAATACAGCTATCAGGTACAGCTTGATTGTGTAGAATGCAAATTGGAGAATTAATCAATAAGAATAATTCAACTAATTAGATTGAGACCCCATCCTTCTTGAATAATAAATATATTCAAAGATCAAAGTACTGGGGTATAGTCCGAGCAGCAGTTAAAATACAAATAACTAGTGAGTAGTGGTATGAGAGCTCAGAGCTGAATTAGATCTTCCTTTTGGGTACATATATTGGTGAACAACTATCTTAGTTTGACATTTTCTCAAATAAGTAATTAAAAACTATGACAACCGTGGCAACACCAGTATCAGAAACACAGTACCATCACCACCAAAAACAACAGCGGGGAAAATGAAACAAAGCCACCAAATATATTGATAGATCAGCTAGGTAAGAAAACTATTAAGCAATAATAAGATAGATCATCAAAGTAGAAAAGTAAGCAGTCTACAGGATGTATACTTGACAGATCAGTTACATTAAATATACTATCCATCAATTTATCGAACATCTTTCATTAAATGTAAACTTACCTCTATGCATGCATTCGCTATGACATCATGAAAACTTGGTGGGAGTAAGCTAAGTACAATCACAGCCTGCAAAAGAAAGAACATTAAACTACAGCGTATTCATGCCGACACATCAATGGATTCAATAGGCATGAGATCCTTAAGATCAATACACAATAAAATAATAAGAAATAAGAAGAAACCGTTTAAGTATACAAGAAGCAGGTGAAAATTAAGCCAACTGCAGAAAAAAGAAATGGCATAGTGATATTGGTATAATGGATAAAAAAGGTTGTGAGAAATCAGAATGGTCATTAGAAGATGAAAGGAAAACCTTACCTTTGATATACACTCGGAAAGACTTTCATAGTTCTTTACATCAAGTTCCACAGCTGTTGCATTTGAGATACCGTCGATCGTCTACAAGCAGAAATTCCTTTCAAATATTTATTTCTCATGTACTTTGATTATTCTCAATAAATAAAATATGTTCCCCAAAAGATAAAATTTTCCAGGAGATGAGCATGTGCTTAATTGTAAACCATGAAATTACATATCTCTACGGTCAAACAACATTCAAAACAAGTAAGAAGTTTCTATGCAACTACCTGCAAATAAGTAGATGGTTAAAAACGCTAGCTATTATAACCCCTTATTTCTTAGTTTAAATTTATGGTACCAGAATATACCAGTTGTCCCTGTAAAATTTTGATTATCTCTGGGTATCCCCTTATCTATGGCTCAGTGAAGAAACCAACATAATTTGGAAAAATATGTTCTGTTACTTGTTACTTGTTCTTCTTTGACTTTTACCAGTTAAGGATCATTCACGGTGTTTCTCTAGGACATATGTGCAATAAATCATTGACTCTAGAGGATTGACATCAAGCTGATAGCTTAAAACTCTTTATAAGCAATAATTTACATGGCTAAGAAGTTTTCTTCTGGAAAACCGATGGATGTGTCTTCACTCTTCAGTCCTTACTGTTTTGTGAGGTTTCAAATCTTTGTTGGTCTCAACAATAGAAACACATAAGCCTTTAAATAAGAATAATTTATGTGCCAAAGTAGTGATTACTCTAGTGTCTTTGTGTATTTCTATTGGAATTTCTGTCTAATCAATCTGAAAAAGTGCCAAAACTCTGGCTTCAGATTTGTCAGATTTTTTTCGTTTCCAATTCTTCTATACACTTGCTATTCAAGCATTATCCATACAGAAATTAAACTCCAATTCCTGGTCTTTCTATAACACTAATATGGCAGTTGAGAAGGTTATAACCTTTGGACTAACAATTCTCCGAGTGGCACCGCAAGAGAAAGTGAGCAGGAAAGATTATTTCAGCTCATAAAAAGGTTTTGAGTATGGAAGCATCAATAAAGAATTAGTAAGAATCAACTTTGATCTGTATGAGAAAATTCTTTGCAATGCAGTTCACTGGGAAAAACATAAAATAAGAAAGTGATGCAAGGAGCACCTCTTCTGCGTCTTTCTTATAAAGAGAAGCTACTATGACTTGAAATTCAGTTATTTCTTCAACGCCAATGCTTTGGCATATTTTCAAAGAATCTCTTGAAGAAACATTTCCAACTGATGCTAAAAACTCCACAGCAGGACGGCAAACGCGGCCTGCACCCAGAATCAAAACTGCTGGTTTTTTCTTAAAGCAATCTCCATCATCCAACATTTTTTCATTAACTTTCCGAACTTTCAGAGATAATATTTTCTCCTTGTTTAAGGATCCATCTTTGTGACTTGGATTTGCAAGACAAATTAAAGAATCAATTATTTGATTGAGAGTGTTCGCATCATCTGCACCAACCTGTAGAAGCCATGAAGATGTCTTCAGTGACTAACAGAAACGAAGTCATTATATATGAAGGCACTGTATTCAAGTTCTTAAGTAATATTTCCAGGCACATAATCAAATATGCACTTAGAAAAGGGTATAAATATAAAATAAGCTGAAAGCAAGCATAAAATGAGACATAGTAATATTTAATTCAAATAACCAATGAACCAAGCTCCATGAAATAAATAGAAAACAAGTAAACTGGAAATAAACCAAGAACTATAACATTTTGACTTGTAAAAGTTAAAACATACTTCGAGTTCAGAATAGGACATGACATCTGCACTTTGGCCCACTTCACATTTAACCAAGTGAAAAGATCCACCAGCTTCTTCAATAATGTCTAAAGCTTCGTTAATTAAATGCTGATCAAACAAATGGCCACTGAGAGATACCTGTCAAGCAAGTAAGATAATATTCAAGAACGAGTTGCAATTATTTTAAGTTTATGTGTCAGAAAGTGAAAGCACATGACCAGTCCTTCAGCACAAAATACATAGTTGTCATCAATAGCAAAGAGTTGAAAATTAAATTAAATAATTGAAAGTGTGTGAAAATGCTTAATTAACAAATATACTGTATTTCTTCATATAAGCATACATATAGATCTACATGTGCAATTTCATGCTTATGCATCCATGCACGCAGGTAACATTATTGTGGGTATGTGCATAAACATGTTTAAAGAATATTCCATGTATCCAAAATGCACAGAATACTTATGAATGTATGAACATGACCTGACATACATGTATGCATGTGCATGTGTTTTTGTGAATGAATGAATGTGTTAGAAAGAAGTACCAGTGTATTACACTTCTTCCTGCTAGATGACACATTCACAGGATTTGTTTGTGCTTCCCTGCAAAGAATAAGAGTGGACATTCACGATAAGAGGAGATAACACAAGAACAGAGAGCAACAGTACAGCCGCGACAGAAGTATACCATGAAAATACATACTACAAGTAAACATAAACAATAATGAAAATAATGCACCTTCTGCAAAACACATAAGGGCTACGTTCAGAATCTTACAATGAAGAAGAATTTCTTATTCGAGTAATATAAGAATACATGGAAGTAAGTGCTCCTTCGTGAGCTATGCAAGCTGCCCGTAAGTGGGGAGGCAGTTCTCTTATATTCTTAGTTGAAGCCAAGCTGCCAATAAATTGAGAGAGTATGTCCCCAAAGTGTTGAGAAGCCTACAAATGATTTTTAGAAAAATAAATACGCTGTACATACCACTAGGCATACAAGAATTCAAATACCTATCTGATGGAGTATCATTCTTGCAGCGCAATTGAAATTATTGAGAACATGAAATAAAAAGAAGTAGCCTAACCTCCCTTGAAAACTCTGTTGGAAGAATGTCGACAGCCAAACATATTATCCCATCGCCTTCCATATCATCATGATATGAATCAGTGAAAGGATCATATCTGGTAATCAAAATAAATCTCTTAAAAGAATGGACTCTTGGAAACTAATGAAGTATCTATGAGGATAAATTTAAAGGTTGATGGGTAGCAAGAACATATCTCAAACCAGATTTTTGAATCTCAATAAAGCTATGTGTCGAATACTAAGTTATTATTTTCCAGATAACTACTTCACTCAAAAAGTTAGTAGTTGGATTGTGAGATAACATTCTATATCAAGCTAACTTACCTCTTAAAACTCTCCCTCATTTGGGTTGTTAGATATAGAAAAGCCTCTATCTGACCACACTTGGGAAGATAGAATAAACAATGGCTAAATAAACATATTTTAGATTTTTACAGGGATAAGGTTTGAACCAAGGACCTCCTGTAACTTGATGGTCCAATTCCACATTGGATTAGAAGTCAGCCAAAAGCTTAACCTATTGGGTATTAGGTAAACAATGTATTATGACTTATGAGGCTAACTTAGCCATTTTTTCATACCTTTTGCTTAGGATCTCAAGCAGGAAATGTGATCTTGCTCAAGCAGGAAAGTCATTAAACATATCTGCATGTACTAGTGACTTGAAGATGTGCAATCATTTATAGTGAACCTATCATATTTTCCTTATTTTGGTTCCCTTTTAGTCCAGAGGGATTTTGGAGGACTTCTCCATGGTTCCATGCACTCAAATTGTGTAACAAATAATACATATTCTGACATTTTGCATCCACTAGCCTTTGTCTTGCCCATGCCCATAGTTTCCAGATTAGAGTTGATACTGCCAATATAATTTGGTTCATATGCATTAGTTGAGGCCATAAAATTTGGTTAACCTTTCATAGACGTCTATGCTCCATGCCTGACCCCGTGTTTATGGGAAAAGGCCTAGACGATAATGATGATGTCGTGATAGTGGCATGCATTAGTTAACCATGTAAATACATGAAAAAATTCAAAATTAAAATTATGTAACCTGGACGAGGAAGTACTTGAAAAACAACTAGTTCAACATGTAAGAAGACAATCTAACAATGGAAGAAGCTGTCCCTTGAAGGTGGAAATCACAAAGCAAGGATTATTTGTATTTCAGAAATAGTAAAGAAATACCTGAAGAAGGGTTTGTCTATGTATGTATTTCGGTTAACAAATTCAATTGAACCACCAATATCGCAAGTTATATCTGAAATGCCTACAAGAGGACTTCCTTTCTTCATCAGTTCTTGTAATTGTTGGGCGCTGAGCAATCTAGGATATTTCTTTTCCCAATACATGCAATTAACTGAACAAAAGCCAACATTAGCTCATATACAAACTTTGCAAAGTGGCTAAAGACCCTTATCAAAAACTAATAGTAGAGGAATAGATAAACTACAAACAGGATATCAAATATGTCAAGATTAGATAACTAATAACCAGTGGAATCAGCATGTTTAACTAGATGTTACAACTTACAGTGGCATTTGAAATTACCACGTTTGTGTTGGGTTGGTGGTTAGCTAATTTTAAACGATTTCAGGAATAATAAAATAAAGATAGCAAAAAAAAGAAGGGCATAGACAAATCTCTCACCAATGACTGATGCATACGGAGCAACCTTATCATGGAAAACAGGGATATAGTGTTCTGGATGTTCGTAGTAGTCCTCCTGAAAAGAGTCATTAAATATATTAATACTACTTCAGATAATGAGGCTCCAATGCAATAAAGCTTATACAATTAAACTAAAATCTATGTGAATGGATATAGTAAATTTGTGAATTTAGTTTAATCATGAAATTGCACATGCATAATCTTACATAGGAATTAGTGTCTGAGTTAAATATGCAAGAGGGACAGGTATGTCAATATACTATTGAGACCATTCACTTATACATAAGAAAGGATAGGTTAGCAGCTAAAATGCTTATCCACCCCAACTTTCTATCTGTTTTAGATATTTTTTTCTTGATTACGTTTATAAACCTTCTTTTTCCCTTTCCTCTTCATGTAGATTATGTATTTCGTATCTTTTCCTCTTCATGTAGCTTATGTATTATGTATCTTTTCTCTCTAACTAATAAATTTCCTCGCCTTCTTGGCCAGCTTTCCAAAAAAATATTAAAATATTATTTGTACCTTGCTATTTAATTTTAATGAATTTTCTGGGCAAGGGCACCCTGACCTTATCCTTATCTCAAATGTAAGAAAGAATTCAACTGTTTTTGTGTATATAAGAAAAATGTTGTGTTCTTGTGAGAAAGATAAGTGCAAAAATGTCTGACTAATTTAGTAATAGACATAGCAAACAAGAACAAAATATTAAAAAATACCTTATCAAAATTGCGCCCAGAATCCTTGGGAATAACCATGTCTTCACAAGTCACAACACAACCATATACCTGAAAAACTCTTCTTGTTTTTTGTGATCGTTGAGAGTGATTCCCAGCCTACAAGTATCATTGTGTCAGTAATTAATATGCATAATAGCTGAAAGGAAGAATACAGCCATAATGCAGCACAATAGAAGACTATGCCTCCACACTCCGCAGGCAAAGTTTATTTATGAAAAGGAAAGATACACCAGTTAGCTGGAATAAGAATTACCACAAAGTAAACTTTCTCCATACCTAAAATGATGAAAATGTAATGGATTTGAAGGTATTAATGGTCAAGAATTATGCTAAGTTTAACAAATATGCTGAAAATATACAGGTTTACCACAACAATCATTTGTTTGCGGAAGTGTCATAGATATCATAGATCATAATGCATTACTACAGCGAGAAAAAACTAAAAACCAAATAAGAATGTACTGGCAAAAGAATCTAATACCTGTTCAACAAGCTCTGGAAGCTTACAAGCATCCACAAAAGTATGCGGCAAAAGCTTAAATATCTCCTGTGCACCCTGAGAAACTACACAAATAATAAAGACAATGTGAAACTGTGAATCAGAAACATCTGTAATGAAGCCTCTACTTTGTATGACAGCACAACCAATCAAGTATCTACATAAGAATGCAAGATTCAAGTATCTAACAGTAAAGAATAAGTTTTTAATTATTGAATTACCATTTCCAGTTCCTGTAAACACAAAGACAACAGGAGAAATTCCAGATGGCAGACCAAGTGTAGCTATTTCTTCACCAACAGCAATTATTGCAGCCTTGGCAGCAGCCAAAGAAGTATACATATAAGACGCCCCAAGAGACAGAAAAGGTGTAGAATAGCCAAGATGCAAGTATCCTGAAATTGAAAAGGGAATCAGACTGCACACCATATAGTCAAGTAATTATATGCTCTCCATCATCAGGTTCCAGATGAAATAGCAGTATATACATGCTTGTATTGCCAACTTTAATTATATGCTCTCCATCATCAGGTTCCAGATGAAATAGCAGTATATACATGCTTGTATTGCCAACTTCTAAGAAAATGGAGTTACTTGCATGGAGCGAACTCAGCAAAAGCTCCAAGTTGTGCATTAGATTTTCAAGGAAGAAAACTATGTCATGCAATAGTCTTAAATTTTCAAATCTCCATAGTTTTGAATGCTAGCTTATTATAGTCACAAACATGAAACATCACTCATGGGAACGTATGATATCAATTAGAATTAGTACTAGAAATCATGAAAAGGATAGCATATGCTTTAGAATAATTCTAAGGGCACATACTTTTTCCCAGACCATGTAAGAAGTCAATGAATCCCGCTCTACCAGCGAATTTTCCAAATGCAAGCAACCTTCTGCCATCATCTCCAATAATACGCTCATAATCATATAGTGACACCCTTTCAGATAGAATCTATAAGCAAAATAACTATTCCCATCATGAGGCCATCAAAGAGAAACATTAATCCAACATGTCATAATATATTTACCTTATCTAACAAAGGCATGTTTTCACTCTGAGCCTTGTGGGTGTGGGAAAAGAATGCATATGCTCTATCAGGCAGAATCATCTCCAACTGTGATGAATGAATTAGCTATGAATTTACAAATTTTAAATAGCATTGGACTTGAAAATATATTATTACCTTTGGTTGCTTGACTCCTAAAATGAGACCACATTCAGATAGATCATCTGATATTTCACAACCAACATCCTCATATTGTGAATCATAATAGATACGTTTAGTGCTTGGCTGAATTATTATACGATCAACTCCATTTCCGTTTACACTGAGCAGAAGGCGAGCACAGTGGGCAGGGGTTAATGGAGCTCTCCTTTCCCATACATTACAAGACTCGGATAGGATACCAACAACTCCATTTCCCAACATGATGTCACAATCCTGTCATTTCAAAAGTTTCAAATTTTTTAAACATGATTATATCCTAACAGGAGATTTGTATCTTTAGGCATTAAACAAAAAGAATACAAAATAAAAGACCCCAAATTGAAAGGGGAATTACAAGATTTGTATCTTTAGGCATTAAACAAAAAGAATACAAAATAAAAGACCCCAAATTGAAAGGGGAATTACATAAAAGAATGGCTGAGACTACTACTTTGGACATAAATCTCAAATGTTAGTGTTGTGAATAACTTAACCAAAAATGTATACGAGAAAGCTCTGCTTTTTTAGATAATATATATGAGTAAGCTCAAGCAAGCATACCAGCCATTTAACACTAAGCAATACCAAATCAATAAAAAAAAGAAACGAAGGTTCCAAGTCTTGGGATCAGCCAAAAAAAATAGCAAAACACCTAAGAATTGTTCTCCTTTCTCCACTAACATATCAATGATGAATCATATTTATGATCAGATGGCATTCTTCAAGGAAAATTTTACGTATCATTCTCATTCTTACATTTGCGAGTGATTAGAGAATGAAGTGAGGATGAAAATCATTTTTATTTTTGGTATCAACAATTAATAAGCAATTAATGCATTATTTCAAATTTTTTGTTCTCACTAAAGTGGGAATGCCCATTGTCTACCATCTCATTGGGAATGCTCAGTCCCACATATAAAGCGGGAATGAATGAGAAGTGGGAATGAGCATTCTAGCTTCTAAAAATGCGCTGTGTTTGGTACGCATGAATAAGAAGCGAGAATGAGCATTCCATTCCTACTCTTTCATGTGTACCAAACGAGGCATTAGTTCTGATGCATCACGTGCAAATCAGGTGTTGTCAAAAGACAAGACACCCTCAATCTTTACAACCAAAAAAAAAAGAAACATTCAGGTCCTCTTTTTTTATATTTTTCGCCCTAAAATTTACTTTTCCCACTTCTTTCTCATCTTTGGTTCTGTTCGCCCACAGGTCTGAGCTCCCAATCTCCAAATTTTGGTTTTGGCAAATTCTTCCTCCAGAACTCCAAATTCATCCTGTTTTATGTAATGCCATCACAGGGTCAAGTGAAAAAATTAATATACAATGGGGTTTATATGGATTTTCCTTCTTGGGTTAGCTGAAATTTACAAACTTTTGGGAATTAAGTGAAAACTCCCACACTCGTGAGGGTTTTGTGAAATTTACCTTACAAGTAATTATAATTAATCAATGACATAAAATGGGCTAAAATAGATAACTTTAAGATTGCCCAAAACAGAAAACAGCAGTTAGTACAATTTTCACAGCTCAAATTATCTGCATTAACTGGAAACTACTCAATTTGGGTTTTTTATCAGGACCCCGAAATGAATTTAGCTCAACAATTCATACCTGCAACAAAATTTTGAAGAACCCACGAACTTTGACTGCTGTAGACCTCGAAGGAGAGGGAGAGGGAGGGAGAGAGAGAGAGAGAGAGAGAGAAGAGGTGATTGTTTTACAAGAGATTTGAGTAGAGAAAGTTTGGCTTTTATTTTTTTTTTTGGAGAAAATAAAGACAAAGAAATGGAAGGGGAAAATGAAAGGGACCTTGGGACTGAATCGCTCTGGCACGTATCCACCTCGGTGGGGCCCAACCGGCCAATTGGCACGAGGAAAGTACCTGAATTTCTTGAAAAAGGCAAGTGGCTTTATCAAAAATCTCCTCTCTCTCTCTCTCTTATTTCCCTTGATGACATGATTACATCAAAAAAAGTTGTATTTTTGTGCCACACTCTGGTGGGAATCTTGGATAACTGATGTAGTACAAGGAATTCTGATTCAGACCTTATCAAAATGATTTTCTAAATTGGTTTTTTTAAAAATAATAATTTTCTAAATTTAACTTTTAAAAAATAAAAACTACCGCTCAATGAATTTAGATTTAGCTCCTAAAAAGACGTTGGAATACTATATTATAAAATTATAACTCACATCACAACTTAGAAATTCTAACGTAGCATGAAAAAATAATAAGTAACATAAGCTTTATCCATATATTTGAGCTGCCTTGCACATGAATCACTTATAAAGTATTAGTGAACTTCATTAATTGGTATGCAAATTGTTTATGAAAATAAATGTGTGAATGATTTCATGTACATAATTTAAGACGATATCTTATATCACATTCACTGTAGACGGAGGGATCCAAATTCAGAATTGGAATCCTCTCCTCATCTTAATATTTCCTAATGAATAATTGTTAAGAGTTAGGAGAGGGACCCACAAGTATAGGTGAGAAAATGAAATGTCATGATGAAAATAAAAACGTAGGATCTCCTTATTAGAAAATTAGGAGAGGATCCGGATCCCCAAATTCACCTCTTTAAAGAAAAGGCGATGTCGTATCATGTGAGCCAAGCTCGCTTCGTTAGATCATTTTAACTTAAAAGAGCAAAAATTTAGCTCGATGGGATTCAATTAATCAAATGGAAAAAATTAAATAGTTAATTGGGTTAACAAGCAAAGGTTTGCGTGTGGCAACAGGAGAGGGTGCAGATCACATCGAAGTCGCTTTCCAAGAACTCAACCTCCGTGGGAACTTTTGTGGGATTGAAAACACTCGCAGTGCCCAAATTGAACTCGGGGATCATCTTGCACTCTAAGGAGCTCAACATCTGACGCGTGTTAATTTTGCTGGGTCCCACAATTTTAGGTCCTATCTGTTGTTCAGTGATAGGTGCCCCTGATGATCGGCAGTGACCAGTGACTGCTTGTGTAAGGAACGTTCCATTATTATTTAAAATTAATAGTGAACACCGTTCTTTGCCATTTTTTTGGAATCTTAATTTTTTGAATTGCTATAGTGACGTTATTTAGATTTTCTGAGGTTGCTACAGTTCCTCTTCTGCTACAAATTTTTTTAAAATGCTATGGTATTTCCCGTACTGCCACGATGATATTTTTTAAAAATTACCGTCGTATCCAGTTTCTTGTTTACTATAGTAATGATACTACATTAAATATTATTGTAGTATTTACTATGACATAAATAGTGAATATTTGGTTTTCCGGTCTATATAGAAGAGTAGATTGTGTGATATATAATTGTGGGAGTGAGCTTATCATAAGCTCAATTGAGGATGTTTCTTTGATGAAGAATTTTTCAAAACAGACCCATTCCCCCTTTTTTTTTTTAAAACCGACCTTTTTTTTTTAATTTACCAAAACCGACCCGATTTTGTAATTAGCTACTTAATCACCTTCCTAAACAGTCGGGGTTGGCAACCCCGACTATTTAGGACATTAATTTCTAGGGTTTAAGGCATCTAATTAGGGTTTAACACCTTCCTAAATAGTCGGGGTTGGTAACCCCGACTGTTTAGGATGGTGATTAAGTTGCTAATTACAAAATCGGGTCGGTTTTGATAAAAAAAAAATGGGTTGGTTTAAATAAAAAAAATTTGAAACGGGTCTGATTTGAAAATTTGTTCTTCTTTGATGGTTGGAGATTATTCTTTAGGTCCTTTATGTATATAGTTCTACCTCGGATGAGACTTGAATAAATCCTTTAGCTGTAAGAAAATTATTTTAATCAGATGTATGGATTAAATCGAAGTCATCTGACTCAATGAGAGGAGGAATATTTGAGATGTTTATCCCTAATCAAGTGCTGATGCTGAGGGACTTCATCATACGTAATTGTTTTTTGATATCGACATATTACCATAGATTTAAAATAGAGGAGAGACTTTTGATGTGCATAGGACGCATATTTGCATTTCGAGGTCACTTCTTCGATGCTATTCTAATGATCATCATTTGGCTAACATAGGAGACAAATGTGACATTAGTTTTAAAATGTTTATAAAAATTTTACTTGAAACCCTATGTATAACATTGTCTACATTGGTTTGACATAATGATCCTCCAACAATAATTTTGAGATGAACATTTTGCATTTGGCTGAAATACCAATTTAACCAATAAAGTGAAACACTATGATCAATATGACCTAAAAAGTAAAGTTGGTGGCAATAACACCTATAAATTGACACAGTTAACCACTTAAACTTACTCTGGTCAACGGAATTTTGGTTTGACCACGAAAAGTACATATATACCTCTCATATCTCCCACATTTACATATTTATCCTCCAAAATCTCCTTCATCTCCTTTATCATTTTCTTCTCTCCTCCATCACATCCTCTCCACTTCTCTCCTTCCCAAAATACTTCCTCCCCCATTGTCTCCTTCTCAACACACGGGCGCGTGCGCGCACTCTCTCTCTCTTTCTCTCCTTCCTTCCCCCTCCCCCCTTCCCCATCTCTCTCTCCCACCATCATCTCCTTCATCCTCCTCTTCTCCCATCTATCTTATTCTCTCCACTTTACTCCTTCCCAAAATACTTCCTCCCGTATTTTCTCCTTCCCAAAACTCTCTCTCCCTTCCTCCCTTTCCCCTTCTCTCCCTCCCTACCCCCACCAGTTACTTCATCCTCTTTTTCTCTCCTTTCTTACTCCCTCTCCTCTTGTCTCCTTCCCAAAATCATCACCTTCACTTCCTCGTATCCCTCCTCCACCCATGTTCCTCCCCTTAAGCTCTCTTTATTCTCTCTCTCTTCTCTCTGCACTAACTTAAAAAATGGAGAAGGGAGTGGAGGAGGAAAGTGAGGGTAGTGGGAAGAGAAAGGTTGAAGAAAAAAAGAGTGGGTTTTTATGTAAATATTTTAATTTCGAGGATAAATTTGTAAGTGTGAGAGATATAAGGGGTATATATGCAAAATTTTATAATTTTCTTGCACAAATCAAAATTCTAGAGATCGGAGTAGGTTTAAATGGTTAACTATGTCAATTTATAGGTGTTATTGTCGCTCACGTTACTTTTTAGGCCTTATTAGTCAGAGTGTGTCACTTTATAGGCTAAATTTATATTTTAGCCTTTCACATTTTGTCATTAATATTGCCAACAATACCATACATCCAATAAGCATCAGAGGAAGAAGCCTTACGCTCACACAAGTAATTAAGAACAAATGCGAAAACATGTTCTCTATTATCAAACAATTTTATCAGTCTGATGAGAATGAGAGGGAGCTGGGGTTCAGACCTCACCATTGCCTGAAATAGAAAAGTTTTTATTTGTCTGACAAAACATTAAACTTCTCAGTTACTGCGGAAGGAACTTGCAATGGAAGAAGAAGAAGAAATTAGCAGGAATTGTGAGGATGAAGAAAATACTTCAACCGCGTCTCAGCATTTAAAACCTCTATACAAAACTCAGTAAACTCCACAAAAATTAGGACGAAAAATGTCTTCAATATCAAGTACCAAAGTACTAATATTCCATCAGAAGCAATACATTTGTTTTGGGTCACATTTGAAGGAGAGGCAAAGCCATTACAGCACCAAAGACCGATAGCAGCACCATTAGTAGCCAGAACGGGACGCTCTTGGTTTGCCTTCCGTTTCTTCCGTTGTCTTCGATCACCATATCGGTGCCTTCCAAGGCTGGGGCTCTTTCGAGTGTGGTGGACGGAGGGCTGGATTGCTCTCTGTTTGTTGTTTGCTCGGATGTTGATTGCTCAGGAGCACGCAGCTTCTCGTACTTCTCTACATATTCTGGGAATAGCTTTTTGAAATTGGGGCAGTTTTTGCTGCTAACAGAGAGAAATAGGATGCAGGTTGAGGATTTGGTTTCAGAAATTACAAAAGAGCTGAAAATTAAGATGATTTCAAGAATACAATTCTAAGCCTAAAACCATAGGTCAATACCAGATGTGATCACAGATCAATTAATAGATACTAGCATTGTGAGGTAATGTGATATACCAATATTAACAAAGTTTCTTCCCCGCCTTAATAACTAATGCTTATATTATTCATACTTTAATCAAGAAAGAAAAACTAGCTGAAGGATTAATACATAAGAAGTGAACTGAAAATGAGTTTCCCTTTTAACATGAATACGAAAAGTCAAAGATTAGACTAGCTTGCCAACCAAGAAAGAAGTCCAAAAATGAAACAGGTTTGAGATTGCCTCCAAAACAATTTAGTACCAGATTATTACGATAGCATGCAGCAATCCTACGCGAAATTCTAAATCTTCCAAGCAGCTCATGAAAGTAAAACTTGTCCCTGGTAACTTGATGCAGAATATGAAGTATAATGAACTCGTAATATGCACATTATCATATGTTAACCTTAATGCAGATGGAATTAAATAAGTTACCTCTCGCAATTATACGCGAGTGACAGCTTTGCCAGTCGCCGCTTCTCATCATCTGTGGTTCTGATGCTGCCAGTAGTTGGTCCATCATCCATCTGCATAGGAATTAACGTAAAAAAGTGATAATGTGATCTGGAAATCCCAAACCATTCAGCTGCAATTTAAGCTAATTATGGTTCATTTCAACTACAAGTCTACAATTATCACAGTAAAAGTGTTCTAAATGTTGGATCTTGAGGACATGTTGGACAGGAAAAGTTCCATATATTGTGGCAGATATCGATATATGGGAGATGTTTAATACAATATTGGGGTGTCATATCAGGTAATGTGTGCGTCATAGATGTCCATATCTGATGCACAAAAGAATGGAGCTGTGGGGAAAGGTGGAATTGTGGAGAAAGGTGGTTTATTTAGCAAAACTTTCACGAAAGAATTGAGTCTTCAATAGAGTCCAAATTCTTCTTTCAGGGTATTTACTTAAGTAGATATCTGTTTAGGTATATACCTTGATAGAACCATAAATGATAAATCAAACTGATTTTATAAAATAAATAAAAGTTAAAATTATACTAAGTTAAAACTAGTTTTCATCTTCTAATTAAAGGTTAATAATTGTTCAATGAAGTATAAACATTGTGATTAAAGAAGTAAAGATTCTTACATCTCCACAGAATCCCAACATATAATCAAATAATTTATCGAAGTATTATACAAAATGTACCTTAATATGAATCATAATTAGCTTAAATATAACTGAATGGTCATGGAAATCCCAAAGGTTAAATCATAATTAGCTAAATGTAAACTGAAAGAATGAAGAATGATTTTCTTTTTGGAAGATTGCAAAATAGCATATGAAGGAAAACCCCAGATCATGACAGAATAATCGTACATGCAAGGGAATCTAGAGGTTTGTAGACCTAACCCAGATAATTAACAGAATAATTGTATGCACCATTTGACTATAACACAGCATGCACGCACGTACACCCATACACAAAAAGGAATAAAACAGGAGGAGGCCAAGTATGGAAGTATTTCCCGTCAAATGTTCAATCGATATCTAGGAGGGAATCAACTGAACCCCACTAGTAGACTTGCTTACTCCCTCCAGCCAAGTGAAGGTTCTTGTTTCCTTTTCCCTTTTCTTCAATAGTGGAAACTCTATTCTTGGAGCAACTTCGGAGCTAAAAGGAACTAGCAAGAGGTTTATGACAAGAAGAAATGGGTTGTACATCAACTCCCCCCAGAATCCTTCAAAGTCATACAAGAGGATCTCATTATAAGTCTCCAAAGAAAGTATCAGACACAATATCAGGACTACCTCTTCTCCACATCTATCCACTACCCATCAACTCCCCCCAGAATCCTTCAAAGTCATACAAGAGGATCTCATTATAAGTCTCCAAAGAAAGTATCAGACACAATATCAGGACTACCTCTTCTCCACATCTATCCACTCAAGTTTGATTTATAAGGCTGGCATGTAAAGTTGAACTTGAGATGTGACTGATATGGATAAAAGATAATGTGCTTTGGACCACAACAAAACATGCTTACATATACCATATTTCAGATGTATTTTAGCTCCATATTTTTATATACTCTGTAAGAAGAAAGAAAGTAAAATAACAATAGCAATGCCATGAATGACTTACCATAAAAGATAAAAGGCCCGTAAGAATGCTGCATCAAAAATTTAATTAGTCAATCTGAAAACAAAAGTTGCAATATTCAATACAGAAACAATAATTGAATTATTAGAGTGAAAATTTCAAATACAGAGGTCATATCAAAGAAATAAAGGCAGGCCAAAAATTCTTATATTAATATGTTTTCCAAAAAGCCTCAAAAGAAAGAAAAGGGCAAAGAGTAAAGGTCGAATTTGTTGCTACAACAACATTTTAAGAGGTTTAGGCATTAGTTTTCATTTATTCATAGCTGATGTACAAACAATGTGGAACTGAAAAAGGTTTGGTGAATATATGTAGCAGGAAACCTATCAGCCTATCAACACGTAACTTCTAATTATGGTCCTCACCTTGACACAGACCATATTGGATTCCAAGTCTCAGGGTGAACTGCAAGATGATAAAGTTATAATACAAACAATAAAAAATGCATGACAAACAATAAAAATAACTTGCGACTCTACAAATATTTATAAACTTACAGTCACTCATAGATAAGCAAATCTTCTTGTGAGGTGCAAATCTTCCATTTGGTGTGATCATGCTGACCGAGATAAAAAAGAATTGAGGGCAAAAAATCCACAATTGTTACATAAAGACTATATAGCCAAATGATTTCAATCAGTAGAGGTACACATATACAAGAGTTTCTTACCTGATACTTGGAGGCTTGTATGGATATTCAGAAGGAAATTTGATCTTTCCATAGTAATATCCACCTTCACATAAAACATAGATTCAAAACAATGGAATAGGAGAATGTAATGAAAATTAACCAATAGCAGTAAATGATGGACTAGTTTCCAAAAAAAGAGTAAACTAACAGTAGAATAAAAAAGGAAAAAAGGAAAAGAAGGAATATAAGGAAGAAAAAAAATAATAATCACATATATACATGAAGATATATGTACCTGCAAAAGGAGTTCCTTCACTTCCTTCAAGGACATAATCTGAAGGCAGAACATGTCAAAGAATCAATGTAATTTCAAGATATTAGAACAAGATTCAGAAAAAGTGAATGCTCCAGGACATCGGTTGTCCAAACTAAATGTCAAATCTCAAACATGATGGCAATGACAGAAATAAAGATAGGAAACAAACTGATGGAGCGGAAGAACTTGCAATTGATTACAGACTACTTTTCATATCTGAACACAGGATAATATTGTAATGTAGTATGAAAATAACACCTCCAATAATAAAGAAACATACAGAAGTAGTGTTCATGATGCGCTTCAGTATCAACACCATAAAATAAAATGTTGCATATAGAGATTACTTGAGGGCGTGACAAATTTCACAGGAACGCTTGCTAGGTTCAGCATAAATTAGCAGTGTGAGATTGCAGTCAGCATATTGCTCTGACAAATATCACATCACCCAATTTGATTTTTAAAGGTTATCTGTCATCGTTCATGTTTCATTTTTAAAAATGAAGTTCAAGACAATTTATTTAGTAGCTCTTCTGTTGTTAAACCATGAAAACAAGATGAATATATAATTTCAATAAGGCAACAACTACCTAATTGATCATTAATACATAGGTGCCCGCATTTAGAACAAACAGTACGTATATATGCTTCTTAATTCTCATGTAGAAAAATACATATAGTTCAGCTTCAGAACAGATCTTCAACAGGTGTTGAATAAGCTAATTAACCTGCTTATAGTACTACCCAACTCCAGTATGATCTACAGTTTATAAACCTCTAAAGATTGGGTTTTCATTGAAAATATCTAACATCAATACTAACAAAAGGGTGAGGGATCTCCCAAATGAATAATACTCAATATATATCACAGAAAACAAATCCGTAAGGAATATATAATTAAGGAAAAGTAAGATGATTATTGACTTACGCCATTCGAGGATATCACTAGGCGAAGGGTGAGCTACAACCTGTGGAACTGGTTCCTGCAAGTATGTGAAGCAGAACAAGTTCGTAAGAAACTTAAAAAACCACCAGTGAGAACAGAAGGATCACGCTATGAATTGTAATCATCAGGATGCAAATAGATCGTCAGGATGCAAATAGATATTTTATAAAATGAGCAAAAGGCACATATGATATGACACAACAGGAACCTTCAATGTTAAAGATAAGATTAGCTCCAATTACCTAGGAGTCTAGGACAAAGTGATCTTATTCTCATTCACAAGCTTAGTATTTTTTAGACTCGTCAGAAATTCTTAGGAAATGGTATGGATAACCAAATTCCACACTAGACATTTATGACAATAACAAATACCTTACACTATTGCATCACATTTATAGAAAGATGAGCCTCAAAATGTGAAGCTTTTGTTAAAATGAACCCACATAATCAATATGGAAAGCCCCAAGCTGGCTAGAAAATTGATGTATTGGCCATCGACCTTCCCATACAATTCCAAAGGCACGTAACGATCAGGCAAAATGCAAACGATAACACTCATCACTCATCTCAAGCAGTGAACAAGAAATATTTCCCTAAAGGTTATCTTTTACTATTCTCTCAATTTGTATGAATTGCTGTTCTTGTATGTGAAATGAATATTTTCACATAGTTAAAAATCAGTATAAATACTTAATCATGAAAAATCTGATTTACTTTGCCAGATGATCATGTAGTTCTGAAGATTTCTTTAGTGTTGTGTTTGACCAATTCCAGATGTGCCAAATACACTTATTATGTGTTGTGTAGTTTTTTTAATTTTCTATGTATCACTTTGTCATGTCCTATCAGACATGTCTATGTAATTTTTCTGTCCAATATTTTGATATTCATCAGAAGGTGATGTAGGACGCTTAACAGACAACTTCATGGAGGAGTGGGACAATCACGAGCTAAATGCCGACTCATGCGTATTATTGACTTCCGCAAAGAAACAATCATATCTTCCAATCCGGAATGCGGATTCTGACATATTATATATGTAAATTGTCTATCTCGATGAGACGGAGCCAACCAGATTGTCAGATTTTTAAAATATCATTAGTAATACTCATTTTTGGGTAAAATCCGAAAATAATCAGCTTTTAGCTTATTTTTAATAATAAAATTAGAGTCTATTTAAATTAGGAAATAAATTCATGTTAGAGTTAAATTAGATTAGGAAACAAATTCAATTTGATTCATGATTTGTTTCCTCTATTATAGGAAGCCTTTTTAGGATAGAATTTGATATTTTCTATTTCTTTGTAATTCTAGTCTTACTAGGGGTCTTGTTTGTTTTTCTATTTAAGAAGAGTCATATAACTCCAAAGAATAATCATTTTTTATCAATAAAATTTCTCTTTTATATTACTTTGTGGATTCGAGGTTGTCTCTTCGTAGATTCGAATATTGTTCTTTGTGGATTCAAAGAACACCCATTGGTGGATTTCGAGGTTTATCACTTCCGCGCTGCATTAATTGGTATTAGAGCTTTGTTTTTCTGATCCGATGGCAGACGATGAAACCTCTATTTCTCAAACTAAGTTCGATGAGTTGAAGACCGATGTTAATCAAATGAAGACTACCATATAGCGACTTGCGTCGGTAGTGGAGCGTTTGAACACGGTAGAAGTTCGAAATCGCGTTGATGGTTACCAGCGACGTGATCCGACTCTAATGATGAATTCAACAGTGATAACTATGAAGCCCCATGCCGTGGTTATGATCGCAGAGACCGCCCGTCGACGGGACAATTATGACATTAGAGGATTAGAAATATCATCCTTCAATGAAAAGTTTCATGCTGATGATTTTTCTTGATTGGATTGATGAAGTGGATAAGTATTTTGAGTATGAGATAATCCCAAAAGATTGGAAAGTGAAATTAGTTGTTATAGGCTTAAAGAAAAAGCATCTACATGGTGGGATAAAGTACTGATAAATTGATACCATCAAGGTAAGGATCCAGTTCGAATGTGGACAAAGATGAAAAAATTATTAAGAGACCATTTCTTAGCTTCTAACTATATGCAGTTTTGGGTGTCTTTAAAAGATTCTTTTATTGTAGCCGACACGGTCCGTCTAGAGAAGAATGTGGAGCGAGAATTTGAGCAGAATGACAAAGGACATTCATCATGGATCTTTTTAGGGAGTTATCAAACTAGTCATGATTATGGTAAAACTAATAAACCTCAATTCATCTCTGAGAAAGAGTTTGAATTTATGAAGAGCACCTAAGAAGCAACAACAAATACTCCATCAATTATGTCAATCATAGATCCAGGGGCATATAAGACAGTTGCTAAGGAGAAGGTTCTCTAGATAACGGGACGCTCACCACCGAAAAGAAATATTTTACCACCATCAAGATTCATCCTGAGGTTCCTGATGTTGATGGTGATATGTTAATGAAGATGAATATTTTGCATGATATCGTGAGTGATGTTACACATATTGATATTGTCCTGATAAAAGAGCAGGATAAATTAGAGAGTGAGACAATTGATGATATATGTGAGTTCTTTGGTGGAGAGCTCGAGGTAAATGAAATGAAAGAATTGTGTATGGAGTATGAGGAAGAATTTTCTTCACTCGAAGCAAAGATTATGAATAATTTTAAGAAGATTTTGACGATACTTTCAGCACTAGAACATGAGAAGCAACATAAAACATATTTTGAGGAGTTTTTCAAGTCAACTACACATCCACATGCTGCTAATAAAATACACATAATGTGGGAAAGAATAATATACGAATTTGATTCAGAAGAAGTCTTAGCAAAGGAGGAAAAAGAACGGAGAAAATCAATGCTAAGTACAAGGCGGATGCTGAACGATGCAGGAAAAGAAAAATATTTATCGATGAAGCTACTATTCAAGCAAATATAAGCTCGGGATCGAGCTTCCTTCAACAAGAGGAGACTGATGTAGGACACTTAACGGAAAATTTCATAGATGAGTGGGACAATCACGAGCTAAATGCTGACTCATGCGTATTATTGACTTCTGTAAAAAAATAATCATATCTTTTAATCCGAAAGACGGATTCTAACATATTATATATATAAATTACCTATCTCGATGAGACGGAGCCAACTAGATTGTCATATTTTTAAAATCTCATCAGTAATACCCAGTTTTTGTTAAAATCTAAAAATAATCAGCTTTTAGTTTATTTTTAGTAATAAAGTTGAAGTTTATTTAGATTAGGAAATAAATTCATGTTAGAGTTAAATTAGATTAGGAAACAAATTTAATTTGATTCATGATTTGTTTCCTCTATTATCGTGAGTCTTTTTAGGATAGAATTTCATATTTTATATTTCTTTGTAATTCTAATCTTATTAGGGGTCTTGTTTGTTTTTCAGTTTAAGAAGAGTCATGTAACCCAAAAAATAATAACCTTTTATCAATAAATTTTCTTTTTATATTACTTCGTGGATTCGAGGTTGTCTCTTCATGGATTCGAAAATTATTCTTTATGGATTCAGAGAACACCCCTTGCTGGAGTCAGAGGTTTATCACTTCCGCGCGTTAGAAGAGCAAGGCAGTAAATTGCTTTTTATTATTTAGAACTTGTGGTCAAAGAGCGTTTCTCAATTCTCTGACAAAGTAGCCATATAAATACCCCCAAATAAAGCATTAATGAAAACTTCTTTACCAGTCATCCAATTTAATTTATGCATTCAACCAAACTGTAGGTGGTTATATGTATAAAATCTGTCAGCCTCCTAAATGTATAAGGATTATATATAATTAAACAAACACACCTTGCAAAGTGCATGATACTCCTTCTGGAGACGTTTCAAACAAGCTCTCTGTGCCATCAGCTATAGGTACTCTCAGAATGAAGCTCCAAACAATGCTTTTATCCTCAACCAGTAAAGCTCTTAATATGCCTCAGCTTATTCTGCTGAACAACAACCTAAACCTGCAATATGCAATATAAGAAGAAATTAAAGGTACATAAAAATGGAACCTTTTTCAGCAGACTGAAGTCAGCATATATTCACTTGCATAGCTATATAAGCATAGAGGACACTGTAAGCAGTAGAAAATTTTGGCCAAAGAAATAAAAAAATGCTCTCCCAATGGTGGAAGCATGCACCAATAACTAGGAAGTTCTATTGTAGCATGCCTTAGCTATCATGATGTGATCATTTTTATACAATAAGGAAAAATAATTGCCTAATCTAAAGTTGAACAAGAAGCCAATTGGTTTACAAACATTACTTGCATATTTTGAAGGCTTTTTGTGTCCTATGATTTCTTGACAGCAACCAGAGCCAGCATAACAGGCAGGCACAAAAATGGGCTTACAATTATGGTTACAGGTTAGAACTTGATGTACCTCTGAAGTGGAATTATAACAACATAAATGAAGAAAGGAATAGAAAAGAGATGGCATCAAATTTCGGTAAAGTTTTAGGTACTAAAAATCCAAAGAAAAAGAGCACAAACAACGACGGAGAAAGAGGCGGTTTGTGCAACATATTGACCAAGTACTCAACATCAGTCCAGGCCGCCCTCACCAATTTACCTAGGTACATACTAAATATATTAGGAGAAGAACCAAAAACATTTAAAATAATATGGTGTCTGCAATCTGGATATATCATCTGGGTAACTTATGTGAATAATATTACTCAAACAGAACTTCTGCATCAGAATACCAGTATCATATCACGCGTGCACCCGATAGTTGTATCCAAAATCCAACTCCGTGCTAATAGCCACCCTACTTAATACTTATATTTCCTAAATTGCATGCTCAAGTGAACTCAAACTCAAAACAGGTTCTAAAATCTGAGGCCTACACCTCCTAACTCCGATCCTCAAATACAAATTCTAAAACAAACTGGCTCTTCGGTTGCTCAACAGAAACAGGCATAATCATACATGTCTTCTACTACTAAGAGAAAATTGCACCTTAAAAATTACCATCCTTTTGTTACTGTTATTCTGTAATGCTATTTACCATAAAATAAATGATTGGCTTTAGATAAAACTGTTCATGTTTGAAGCTGGAAGTTCAATAATCTTAGTTGACGACCAACAAACCAATATCTAACTATTCTATGCTGCCAAAAAAAAACCCTAAATTCAAGAATCAATCGTTCGCAGTTTTGCTACAAAGTTGAAGACAAATTCAAAAATTTTACTGAAATTACACATCATAATAAAGTTTTAGATGGAGATTTATCAAATGATCGTTACAATTCCAATCTTCGGCGCATGTACAGATAATTTGCACTTCAATTTTGGGCAAAAACGAAGATAAGCGAAGGGAGCGCGAGATCTTACAGCTGATTCGGAGACGAAATCGAGGAAATCGACGGATGCAGAGATCAATTTTGGGGATTTAGGATTTGAAAGAAGTCAGATTAGTAATTTGGAAGAAGGGAGGCAAGAAAAATACTCTCGAAGAGGGGACTTCGATTTAGAAATCTTGAAAGTTTTCATTAAATTAGAGCTTTTCATTTTTGCATAAAGGGACCTATTAAACTACCCTCGTTCCATATTAATCCAAAGTGCGCTCTACTTTTGCACTGAAGTCTCTATCAATTAAACTTTTTGGGAAATTGATTGATTATAATTTATGCAGTATATTTTTTTTGCATAAAGGTGCCTGTTACATTGCCTTCTTCGTATGGTAATCCAATGTGTGCTAACTTTTGTGCAAAAAAAAAATTGTTAATGAAGTGTATAGAAGTTTCTTCCTATTAAGTTTTAGCGATATCTATACTATCTATACTTCCATGCTATTTATTATTATTTTCTATTATATAAAAAGTTAAGTGAGGTGGCTAGCAGTGAAGGAATGGGTTGAATTCTTCCTTCCATAGATTTATTTTTAGGGAATTTCTTTGATTGTTGAGGCAAATTGATCATTTTGAAATATTATACATTTTGTTATTTTTCTCCCTCAATAAATGCTTTCTCCCCCCAAATAAGAAAAAATCATTCATCCTTTTACGACTGTGTTTACAAATAACTAAAATTTACAAAATTAGTAGCTTTAATATTATATTAGAGATTGGTAAAAAAATGATGAATTAAAAATGCTAACACAGTTCTATTAAATTTTTTGCCACCTGCATTATGCACGGGCGATTTAGCTAGTGTCAGTTAAACACCTTATTGGTTTACTCACTTCCCACTTATATATGCGCTTTGCTGTTTTTTTATCAATTATGTACCCTAAGTTATTTATAATTGACACGTCTGTATTCTTTTTTATGCAAGCATGAAAACTTTTTGCCTGAAAGTTTCTATTTAACATTTATATGTTTTAGTTTTTTTAATCATTAATATTGTTAAATTTATTATTAAGTCTACCCAAATTCTTATTGAAATATATCCTAATATTTTTTTAGAAATAGAATTTAGAAAGTTCTACCAATAAACTCAACAAACTTAATTGTTAGAAAGTAATAAAATTAGCATATGAATGTGAGAACTTTCGAATGAATATTTTCACGTTTAAGAAATTAACATGTCAATTTTAAAACAACTTAGGCGTTATAAATGTTACGAAAAATAACAAAGGATATGTAAGTGCTATGGAGGTGAAACTAAAGGTGGGTTTGTTTGCGTCAAAAGTTGCTCTCGTTGTGGAACTCATTATATCTTCAGTCGATTACAACAAATTCAAAAGAAATAGTCTTTTTATAAGACTTCTTTTACACAACAAAAATGAAAATTACAACTTTTTAGAAACAAACGCAGGATCGTTGTTTGGATCGCTGCTTGCGTGGGATCTTTGCCTGTGCCGGGAACGCTTTGGCTCGTGGACCACCAAATCACAGATTCTGATTGAATCGTGAGGGGTTTAGTGATTCTTCCTTCGTTTATCGAAGTGAGAATTTGAAACGATATCTTATCAAAGTAAGATAGTCGTTCTTCTTGAAATCAAGTCAAAGCTCGAATCTCAAGGAATTGCCAGAAGCTCAGGAACTCTGCTCTGTCTGCTCCAAAGTGCTCAAGAATGATCAGCCCCTTAAACAAATGATCACAGGGGGGTATTTATAACCCCTGGACAAATAACCACTTCCGAGACAGTGTTTGCTGTCTCGGCGGTCGAGACAGCAAAGACTGTCTCGGGTTCCGAGACAGTAAACACTGTCTCGGGTTCCGAGACAGTAAATGCTGTCTCGGAAATCCTCAACCGCCCAGCAGTTTTCTTGTAACTGCCTTCCCACATTTTACAACTCCGTTATTTTTGCAGTTATCAACGTGATTCTCGCCCACGACGTTTCCCACGTTCTTGAACAGTTGGTGGCCACGTGTCGGCGGTTACAAAACAGTTTCTGATCTTTTTGAAGGCTGTCTCGCGGGCGAGACAGGAAAAGGCGTCTCGC